TTCTTAATGCAATTTACAACTCCGTGAACAACAAAACTTCCACATAACATCAAAGTTATGAATGTGCAGTATAAAAAGGGGGGGGGGGCGTTAGAATTAGTAGAATAGCTCAAAGGTGTGAAAAAGGTGTGCGGTTGCGAAAGTGGGGGTGGGGCTGGGGTGCGCGGAAGCACTAATCGAGAATCTTAATAATAAGTGCGTTACTCAATAATTGCTTGTTTTGCCAGGTAACTTTAGAAGATGGGAATTTCACTCCTTGCCGCCGCCACTGTTTGGTGAGCTATAACTGACATAGTAATAAAACTGTATCGTAAAAGGGGTTGAAACATTAGAATATTAATTTAGTTCAGGGGCGGTATCGGGGAGGGTAGGTGCAATTTTTGGGCATCGCATAAAATGCGTTACTTACACGCATGTTTTGTTAATTAAGTAACTTTAGTAGATTGGAAGTTTACGCATTGCGGCCGCCTTTGTTAGGCGGGCCATAGCTAGTCTTATAATATAATAAGTAGCAGGAGCGCCACCTTCGGCGGTATTTAGTCTCATTTGATTTAATAGCAGTGTTTCATGCATTTATATGTAGTGGGGCGAATTTTACTTTTTATTTCCCACTACCGTGGCTATTATTGAAAAAAAAAAAACGGTTGACTCCCTGCGTCTAGGAAGGATTATTCAATGAAGCTACATTTCACAACGTTAAGAAGTCAAGTAACTTAACAATTAACACAATCTCCTCATTCATGTCATTAAACAAACAAAGCAATCTTAGGCACCGCGCACAGGTAAGACGTTTATTTTATGCACTACTAAAACGTACATTAAACTCTCAGGACCGACCAAGCCGCGGCGCAATATCTATATAATATATTCTTTTAAATTTGTATACCTCATATAAGGAAAAAATACGAGCGTTGACCTCTGGATCCGCAGCCATTTCCCATGGCCCGAAATGCGTTTTTTCAACCCTACAGGAACATAATCTATACAAAACAAAAAAAAAAAAAAAAAAAAAAAAAAAAAAAAAAAAAAAAAAAAAAAAAAAAAAAAAAAAAAAAAAAAAAAAAAAAAAAAAAAAAAAAAAAAAAAACAAAAAAAAAAAAAAAAAAAAAAAAAAAAAAAANATGTGTTGGAAAGCACACTGTGGACAATCGATGCATTGTATCCTTTAGAAGTTGTTGTTTTTCTGAAATTCAATGCATTGAATGAACATATTTAATCATCAGTTGGCATAAATTTGGCACAAGGTCAGACCAATGAATTTCTTGGCATATTTCTTCCTGAACCAGGTTTTACACATAAGCATTTATACCACAAGTTGCCTTAGTAAAGTTAGATTCCCGAATTTCTCGTTTGTCTTACTGTAACAGTTGAATTGCCGTGAGCCGGCTCGGTTGTTGCTAAATATGGTTGTCAAAAAAAAATTCCGAAAACCAGAAAACTGAATGAGCTATAGGCTATATACGCTCTCAAAGAAGATGTATGATTTAACAATAAGGCAAATTTTCAGACGATAATCGGGCGGCTAAATAAAGACAAAATTGAAAGGTCTTCATCGTCAAGGGAGGTAACAATGTCTCGTTTAATTGACAATATTGACAAAGCATTCAATCGAACACGGGACATTGATAATCTCAAGTTAGTTTTTATCAAATTTATTTGTGGAAATGATGGATTGTTTTTAAATACAGTTAGAACGTAGGCCTCATTACAAAAAATCGGAAAAAATGCCAAGTCAAATGGGGCAGTACGATTCAATTTTAAAGCGAATAATTTCAAGTCATGTTACAAAAATATTTTAACAGCACACATATTTCTTTGAAAAATTTTCTTAAATTCCTTTTTTTTTAAATAGTTAAAACTAAAGGATTTTATTTGTTGCGAACCCAGTGGATGGCCGAAAGGACGACTGAGAAATCCAATAAACATTTCACGTCACAAGAATTCTACATGTAAAAAAAAAATATTTAAAAAGCCGCACACAATTTGATACCAAATATTCGGGGCTATTAAAACTTTCCACTTGCTATTGTTATACTTCGTTTGGTTAAAATAATTCGTTCTTGGCTACGATGAGTGTTTTAATTTTGTTCGGAAATTGTATCAAGATTTAAAGAATTCTATACCAGATCAGTAATCTATAGATCTAGTTTATTAAATAGATCATAAATCATAAAGACCCAGTCGAGACACATCGCCTCGCTTTATTGATGACTTGCCGTGCTAAGAGCGCCACAACCTACAACAGTATCGAGAGAGAGAGAGAGAGAGAGAGAGAGAGAGAGAGAGAGAGAGAGAGAGAGATTTAAGATACGTGTAAGAGTCGAAAGGGTGGGAAAATATTTTGATACTTTTTAAAAATTAATAAGAAATGTAAAAAAAAAAATTAAAAAAAAAAAGAGAGAGAAAAAAAGAGAAATTTTGATTTAAAATAAGTTTTCAAAGCAAGCATGAAATGCACTGGCGTAGGAAGAAAAAAAAATGGGGTGGGTGGGATCCACCCCATGCAACAATACTTTTTTGTATTTAAAAATTCCCATGACATAACTGTAAATACCGATAATAAACTGAATGAATGATGGTATTCAAACTCTTGTCTCACCTTTCGTCAATGCTTTATAATATTGGTTGTTTAAATACATTTTTTTAAAATTTTCCCTGAGTTTGCCATCCCTTGAAAAATGCCGCTCTAGGCACCCGCCTATATTTCCTATAACATATGACTAAATTTAGTATTTTGTGTGTTTAAAATTTGCATCAATTATAGTACACGGGGAGCGACATACCATTATGCCATCAAAACTAATTTATGTTGTTAGGTTTCTTGAACACTGTCTGCCTGCGGGGCGTTTCCCTAGTCGTAGTCGTAGTCAAACAAGTCCTTACTTGGACTTACTAAGCGGATCGCTGGTGCTGAGTGCTGATCAGTTGGTTTTTCTATATTTATAAGAATGATAGAATTAGCTATGCTGACCGTAACGCCAAAGAACCGAAAAGATTTAAATGAATGCACAAAAAATAATATAAATAAATACGCTTTTATTTTTGTAAAAGTTTAAGTATTATTTTTATAAATTACAAATACATTTAAAGTAACAACTAAGGAACTATTTTAAGCATTTTGAAAGTTATGAAAAAAAAAAAAATAATGATCTAAGAATTACTTCGTAATCACATAATTTATCAGGAAAACCCAAACATCAGATTTTTTAGTTAGTTTTTTTAGTGCGTTGTTAATATTGCGAAATAAAATAATATAAATTTATTCTAAATAAACACGCAAATGTCGTCAGTCAAAGCGCGAGTCGCCTATGTTAGTCAAAAACTCTTGATTTAATAACCGCGCGTTATAAAACTGATAATACATTTCCCCCTTCTTAAAATTAAAATTAATACATATAATTGATTGCTTTTTAAATTTTTAATAAAACACACAAACATTTTAGCTTTGTATTTGTAACATTTAATAAGTTTTTAATTTGTGAAATTCCAAAAATATACTTTTATTAAATTTATAACGTATTAAAAACGTAACCTTCAAATACACTTCTAATAAGAAAATGCCGTTTAAGTCAATCAGCGCAGCGAAACTCCATAGCTAAATAGCCTACACTAATCCACTTATAACTCATCCAAATAAGAACAAACCATATGAAGTGCAAAATATGTTAGTTTGGGTATGGAAGGGACTACAATCCAGTGAACGATTTTATTAATTTTATTTAAATTCGGGGGTGGGGGTGAGTGATGATTTTGCCCCAGGCAGCACAAACTACGTCTCAAAATATAGGAATGAATTTGATAAATAATTAACCTTCTTGGGTACATACATATCGGAGGTGGGAAACAGGATGTGTACATTTGACGTGGATGCCAAGGTATTTAAATCCTATGGTTTTACATTTGTGAAAAAATAGATGTTACATTCCCTTTTTACAAATAAACATATGTTTACCAATTAAGAAAATCAATGGCGTTAACTAAACGTTATCTAAGTATACCCATGAATATCAAAACCCAATCATTTTACGCACTTGAAAATTTAATTTTGAGAAAATGGAGATGGGTTAATATTTAAAAAAATAAATAAATTAGATGAAAATACATTTTGTTTTTACTTTGCGAAAAGTAAAGTGGGTGTGTATATTTATGACATTAACAATAAAAATAGACACTCATGTCTGTTATAGACTTGAAAAATTGTTAAGAGATTCTTTGTTTTGCGAATTTCTGATTATGTATAATTAAAAAAGAAACAAGATAAAAGTGTGTTAAAATTTTTGATGAAAATATCAATACACTATATCAAATTTCTTTAATATAAAATATTTGTATATCATACATAAAGTGTTTTTTTGTGTACATTTAAGATGATTTTCTTTAACACTTTTTAGAGAAAAATAGTTGTAATTCAAGGGCACGAAAAGAGGAAATTCTTAAGTATTTCTCTAGCGTAGAAATCATCCCTCAATTAACTTCTTTAGTGAAAAAAGTGATATACCGGTATCGGCATTAAAGATTGGGTAATTTAAGGTCATGTTTAGAGGGGAAAAAGGTAGTTTAGGGGCGAGAAAGGGAGTAGGGTAGGCGTATAATATATAGCAGATAAATACTTCTCACATCTTAATGATGTTACAAACGTAATTATCATTTCATAGATACTTCTTTTTAAAGTTAGGAATTGTGATTAGTTTTTGAAATAGCAGGTAGAAATTATCGCAAAGAACCTACCTTTATTATCTCTATAACATCGGGTCATTTATTCTAGTTATATTAAAATTATATATGGAAGGAAAAATTTAATGGTTCCATGAGAAATTTTAAATTCTCTAATAATCAATCTTATTAGAGTAGCTGCTAATTATAATAATTTAATTTTGTAATGAGTGATTTGTTTTTCTCTCTAAAATTACTTATTTCGTATTATATAATTTAGCGATTTGACATAAAGTTCATAAAGACTGAAAGCTATAATTAGAATTGTGGGATAGGAAGCCGAGACAGACGCAAGCCAGTTGCCCTGAATTTATAACCGGAAGTGTAATGGCGTTTGGGTGAAATGAAAATAACTTAGGTTGTATTAAATCCTTTGCCATCAACGTTTGGTTAGTATTGTATTTGTCTAAAATTTAACATTTCTGATGCATTATATCCAAGGAATTATAATAAATTGATAACGTACAGCGGTGTTATCCCCATAACATATGCTTTCCCCCGTAATAGCACAGCATCATAGAAGTTATTGTAAAAAGTAATAACGGTTTAGTTTGATTATGAAATTGTTAACACACCTTACATTTATGCAGATTGGTAACAAGAGTAAGATATTATAAACTTATACTGAAGAAGTCTATAAAATATAAGATGGTCATAACTTAAGAACTTAATAGCATTGAAAGATACAAGTGAGTGTTGATTTTTGGTGTTCTTGGGATATGCAAACATTACAAACAAACACACGGCGTCATCGGAACGCAAGCCGACCGGAAAGCCATGCAAGCAACTAAGCAAGTCAATTATTATTGCCAAAGATTTATTCTTGATATAGGTGTTTAAAAACCATTATAGTTAAAATATCGGTAAAAGTGCAGTTCAGGTGCGTATATTTCTCATTTCTGGTTGAAATTCGTATTTTCGCGTGTAAAATTATGTGCATTTTTATAAAAGTATTTTTAAAAGTAAAATGCCATCTTTTTGTTGGAATACATTTTAACTGATTTTACGAGATTAAAAAAAGTACACTGAAAATTTTTAGGTAATCTACCACTTGAGCGTCGGCCAAGAAAAAATCCTGCCGTTGGAAGGGCTATTTAAACAACTATTCCTATATTATTTTTAATGACATTGGTTGTACGTATTCATTCCCATAATAATTGACAATATTTAAAAAAAATAAAAACTATAACAATTTTTTTGAAATAGAAGATGTGTGAAAATGGAATTATGCATAGTTTTCTCCCCCAAGTTGACAATAAAGTTTAAAAAAATATAATTTCCACGAAAACGGTTGTGGTACATGAATCCACGTAAATATGAAGGGGAAAGATCACCTGCGCTTCTTGTGCCAAACTGTCTTTTCAGTTTACGCTTTCTGAGCATTCACGTTTTCCACAGTCTGTCACAGTGTGTGTGGACATCCGCATTATCTGGATCAAAAAAAATAATTGTTGTCTCTTTTTCTTCCTGGCATATCGGTAGCTTGGCAGTAATAATTATTTAAATGTATTAGTAGCATTGTGCTATATAACTTTATAGCCTCTATACAGAAGCAAAAATATTAACAGACTCCAATGTAAGTATAGTTGTTTAAATAGCCCTTCCAACCAGAACAACTGGATTTTTTTCTTGGCCGATGCTCAAGAGGTAGATTACCATTTTTAGAAAAAGTCCTGCGATGGCCGCCATCTTGTTTGACACAACCAGTTAATTTTGTCACTAATGAAATGTATCCCTAAATCGATCCCCATGCCTAACCTGAACCCCAAATTGATCCCTATGCCTAACATGAATCCTAATTCACTGCAACTATAAAAAACATGCAAATGATGTCAAGGGGTAAAAACTAAGAATCAGCCAAAGGCCAAGTACACTTTTATGGATCTTTTGTCTTTTACGGAGACATTGTCATTGTGGTAAATCAAATATAACTATTGAATATTCTGTCTTTAAATTTAAAGATACAAGTTATAAAAGTTGCCCAGTTGGAAGTATCTTGTTATATTTATTTTATATTATAACTTTACTTAAAGACTTTACTATCAAATTATATATAACCAGAGTTATGGGGAACTCTCATACTTGACATACGTAGCCAGTTTACAAGCCATATTGCAATTGTTACATTCCATTTTGTTCTTCAAAGGGGAGCACCTTGCTGCGAGAAATTCCATAGTTGTATTAACGTTTCTTGTTGCCTCACAAAGTGCACATATAAACCAAATGTAACATTAAAAATTTCGGTAAATGGTCAATGAAAATGCCACTATTTTATCAGTGGCCGCCATCTTGGTTGACACGTCACGTGAAGTCATCTATCCCCATGCCTAACCTGAAACCCTAAATCAATCCCTATGCCTAACCTGAACCCTAAATCGATCCCTAAAATAATTTTGTAAAAATAAACAAAGGGAAGTCACTCCCTGGAAAATAAGTTGTGGCATCTCGAATGATCATTAGCCAAAATATCCGTTGGATCAAGTATTTGAATTTATTCTTTCTTGGTCATCCTGCAATTTTGAACAAAGTGATCCCACTACCAGTAATACCGCAAAACGCGTCCATCTTATTATATATAATCATTAACCCTCACCCTCATTTTTACTCAGCCAAATCAGTCAACATAAGCGCATTTGCATACGAAAAAAGGTGAGGGGTGCTCAAATTAGAGCTGACCAATAATGGATAATGTATTTGCAAACACCAGTATGAAATGACCCCACGCTATCATTCCGATTTACTCCATTTTCTGCAACGTCACAATTATTTTTTTTTTTAAAGTGGACACGTGATCACACATTGGCACAAATTTGTGGACCCCTCCCCCCTTCAGCTTCATTCTAGGATAATGACGACGTGTGTGTCCACTGCCTTGTCGGTAATCCACTTCTAATCCTCCCCTCAAGACTTCAAGGGACAACGCATATATTCCGAGCGCTCTGAGAAAAAAAGAAGGGGGTGGGGGCACTCATTTGTAATGAAATTTCCAGCATATTATTTTTTGTGAACATGCCTACAGTTTGAAAATTCGTTTAGCATACTAACTTATAGGCTATTAAAAATCTGGCCAGAGGGTGAAAAAGCAAAAAAAACAAATGGGGGCGATGGAACTTTGGTTGGGATGTTTAAAGGCGCTTTAGAAATCAAATAATAAGAAGAAAAAGCGCTGTATAGTTCAGTATTAGTTAACCATAACTGCCTGTATTCAATTAATAAAGAATACACATAAGTTTACATGAGAAAATATGAAATGCGTTAAGAAATAATATATGCACCTGAACTGCACTTTTACCAAAATATCAATAAAAAGGGAGACAAGAGTTTGAATACCACCATTCATTCAGTTTAGTACACTTTTTATGTGAGGCCCTAAGCTAGTGCTGTATACTGAGATTATTAGATTACTATTTTCATAATTAATTTCAAATGCAGTATAGGGCCCAACTAGTATGCTAAAAATTGGCCTATGCTTATACTTTTTACGTAACAGTAGTCTTGGGTAAATGCAAAGAGATGACACCGTGAAAACATATAGTAACGAAGGTATGTTAAATTTAGGAATAAAACGTTAAAAATTAAATGAAAAAATGTTCATGTATCCCTAAACCTAACCTAAACCCTAAATCTAACCTGGGTATTGACCCTAACCTGACACTCCCTAAATCTATCCCTAAACCTAACCTGAACCCTAAAACTAGCCCTAAAGGAGCAAGTAAAAACAAAATGTGTCATTTACACACTGACCATGGCAAGAAAACTATGAAAATGAACAAAAACAATAAGAAGTGGCCAAAAATAATTATAAAATAAATAATGTAAATGATGTCACAGTGCCATCTCTTTGCATTGTCCGTGATGAGTATTTTTTTCCCCATATGCAGACTAACCCTAGCTGGTAAGAATTACTCATCAAATAAATGTTTTAAGTAAGAAACATTAGTCTAAGTAGTTGAACATAGGCCTATATTTAGGTTGTATATTTTTTTAAAATACTCAGACTTAATTTTTGTTTTTATTTAATATTAGGTGATACAAATTAGTTGCCGCCATGTACCTGTATAATCTGACACTTCAGAGATCACAGGGAATAGTAACTGCTATTCATGGCAACTTCTCTGGATCAAAACTTCAAGAGATAGTGGTTTCACGTGGGAAAGTACTTGAGTTATTTCGCCATGACCCAAACACTGGGAAAATTTTTCCAGTTCTCTCAACTGAAGTTTTTGGCATCGTGCGCTCTCTTATGCCATTTAGACTAACTGGAGGAACAAAAGGTGGGATACTCTTTTTACATGTCATTTATTACTACTTATGATGCACATGGTAAGTAAATAAATTATGCACAGAACAACACAAAACTATTGTGATATAGCTGTGATTTTGTATTATAAAGAAAATATCTGTGACCAGCTTAACCCATTCGATATGTATTGCCGCAGTGTGCATTACCCTGATTTTGGCTGAATACGTTTCACAGCAGAGTGCGTCATCACTTGTTTGTTTCATTCCTTTAGTGTTTTAACTTTTACAGTCAAATATTTTATTTATAGCGTTCTAAACTTTTATTCAGAAGAGTTTCAACTTCCTCTCTGTGAATTTTCTATAGGATGTACCACGTTTTGTGTATTATTTGTTAGATTTTTCAGGTTCTAAAAATAGTAAACATACATCTGCTGATTGAAATATCGTGGTACTAATATTAAAATTAGGTCTGCTCGCTCAAGATTTAGAAGTATGACTGCCGAAGAAGCAAGCCAATTAATTAGCTTGGATTATTCATTGGACCGGAATGAAAACAGTGATGAGGATTGGGATAATAGATTGCTATTTGATAGGGATGAGGAATATATTCCTCCAGCCACAAAGAGACCAAAATTAGGCAAGGGGAAAGGAAAATTGAAAGGAAAATATGGCATCACATCTATTTCACCATCTGGACCTAGTTCTACAGTTACAGTAGGCTTAGGCTTAGCCCATAATGCAAGGCATAGGTCTAACTCTAATCTGACTACAGAGTCTGAGTGGTCACAAACTGAAAACAATTTTCGATTTCACCTGGAGTTGTTCCAATGAAAACCCTACTCCTATTAAATTCTTCAATGCATTATTTGATAACGTAAAAGATTACATTGTTAGATTAGTAAATGCTATTCCAAAAGAAAAGTACAAGTTTACAGACCTACACTTAATCACTCTGTATTTAGCAGCTGGAAGGATATTTCTAGACATGAACTAGATAAGTTCATAGCTGTTTTGATTTATATGGGCATGCATAAAATGCCGGCTCTTGTGGATTATTGGTATATGTCGGCTGAATCCTAAATCCCTTGGATACACTACGTTTTTAAAAGACAGAGGTTTCAGGACAATTATCACTCCTTGCTATACTGTGGCGATGAAACATCCAAAAGCAAAGTAAAATTGAACATTTTATGAACTCTGTAGATGAAATGGTAATATGCTTAAATGGCTGATGGCAGTTTAAACAATACAATGCTAGTAAGCCTAGCAAGTAACACATATAAACATTTAGTTATGTTATGTTGTACACATTTTGACATATTTTGGTGCGAATACTTCATTTAACCCAGAAGTGGATAAGGGTGGAGGACAAGCTGTCTAAGTTTTTCATACTTTGCTTCAACATGTGGGAACTTGTCACAAAGTTTTTGTACTACACCTCCAGAAAACTCTTTGACTATCTCCTTGCTAAAAATAAATATTATACAGGAACTCTTAACATTAACCATGTTGGCTTTCTACTGGAGGTAAAGTCTTTGTCTTTACAACACAAAGAAATGAAATTGTACCTAAACAACACGAAAAGCATGCCTTTTGTTGTATTCAAAGATAAAAAACCCAAAAAGAATGTAATAATAGTGTCAACAGATGCAAGGGTACAAACTACCGAAACCAAGAGAATGGACAAACCTGAAATAATTCACATTTACAATAAAAAAATGAATGGCTTTAATAAGTTCGATAAAAAAAGTAACATACTACTCTATTTATGATCGAAATACCATAAATTGTTGGAAGAAAATTTATTGGAAGTCGCCCAGCTGAATTCCTACATTTTTTTCATTATGCAAAGCAGCAGATCAAAACCGAATGAGTCTGAAGGACTATAAACTTACATTGATACTTCAGCTAACTGGGGATGTAGCATTTGATCCACCAGGAAAGGGCCCAGATATAGGATGCCTTGAAAGGACAAATGAATCGCAATTCATCATTGATTATGAAGAGCATGACCGATCTTGTGCCTATTGCTCTACTGCTACTTAACTAATACGCAGACACTTTTATTGCACTGATTGTGAGGCCAAAGCTCACCTTCATCCTAAAGGATGCTTCAGGGCTTTTTGGTCAAAATGATGGGCTGATTTGTTTATATAGTTTGTAAATATGTGTAAATTTTTGGTTACCAGACCAGAATAATTATTTTTATTATTAACTTTTGGAACATTTATTCAAGACTATTGTGTTGAGAAAAAATTCACAACCTAGCAATTTCTTGAGCTATTGCAACAAAACTTTCCTCATACTTTGGATATATAATAAGGTTCATTTGCTGAAAAAATTGTCTTGATTAGATTATTCTTACCTGATTTATGGGTTGGTGAGTAGAACTGTTAATATTTTTTTTGTTAGTAACGTTACTTTTAAATAACACTGTCATATTACCCCTAAAGTTTTTCTCTGTATAATTTTTTTTTATCGCTCTTTTATAATAAAAGGTATGATAAACTGTAAGCGGGGATTTTAAGTTAAAAATCATCAGGTCGAATGGAATTTTAGTCCCTTAATTTTACTACGTTCCACTGAATAATTGTAACGTATTGAATGGGTTAAAAGTATTTAACTTCTGTTCGTTAAAGAATACACTTTCTCTTAACAATAAGATAAATTTAACAAATTTGAATGGGATAGTTGCCTAGTTAAGTACATGTAGACATGTAGTACATGTTTAATAATAATAAAGATTATGCACTTTTAATCAAAATGGATTGATATCAGCCTTTTTTGATGTAGGGCAAATTGATTAGGCCCCGATTCATAATTAAGAAAAAACATAGCTTGAAACTAAAACAGATTTGTAAATTGTTTTGTACCTGTCATGTAATTATTGAATTTGTTTTTACCCAATTAAATATAAATTTACTAACTTACTTAAAATATAAAATAATTTTTCATTCTCAGATTATGTTGTAGCAGGATCTGATTCTGGCAGAATTGTCATTCTTGAGTACATTCCATCCAAAAATATGTTTGAACGGGTAGGTAATTCAATAATTTTGTTACAATGCAGTAGAATACAAGGTTTTCATATATTTAAAAAAAAACCTGTTCTTAAAGTACAGCTTATAAAATTAATATGCGTTGTTTATTTAAACTGTACTTAAATATTTAATTTTGTGAAATGTGTATCCACTAGAGAAGCATTAAAAATATTTTGAATAACTTATAAGCAGATATTATTTTGCATTGTACAGGTCCATCAAGAGACTTTTGGTAAAAGTGGATGCAGAAGAATTGTACCAGGACAGTATTTAGCTGTTGATCCTAAAGGAAGAGCTGTTATGATTGGTAAGAATATTTTTAAGAGCAAGAAATATCTCTGAAGTGGGGCAAGTGGGAATAGATTAAATTTTATTTGTATTTTAAAATCTGAATATCAATCATATTTGATAATTAGTTATGGTCCATCTACTACAGTTACTTGAAAAAAAATATTCATTTAAGTGGCACACTTTATAAGAATTCCAGTTAGTGCTTAACACACATACACACAATGTATTCAGGTCATCCTACACTTTTTTTCTCCTTTTACACATGTTTGTTACATCTTTAAATTAAGCAGTTATCAGGAATTTTATTTTTCGCGCCCTTGAACTCACCATTACACCATTCTTTTTTGTCTTATTAAAAGTATTATATTGATTGATTATCCACATAAATTGTTTTTAAAAAATTTGTTTCTTCTTTCTCAAGGTGCTGTGGAAAAACAAAAATTGGTATACATTCTAAATCGAGATGCCCAGGCTCGCCTGACCATTTCTTCCCCGCTTGAAGCCCACAAATCAAACACACTTGTTTATCACATGGTTGGTGTTGATGTGGGTTTTGAAAATCCAACATTTGCATGCCTGGAAATCGATTATGAGGTATCAGTATTATAGATTTATCATTTTATATATATTATGAGACCATGTTTATTTTTGCACAAGAATAAAAGGAGGACTTATTGAGATTGAAACTTGATTGCAATGTTTAAAATTTTGATCTATTTATGAGCGCCAAGTGGGGAATGGGGGTTAGTCTTTAGCAGAAACTCAGGAGAAAAATTAATAGATTTTAATTAAAATGAATTACTAAAAGTGTTTTTTAATATCTAATTTAGGAAGCCGATACAGACCCCACTGGTGAAGCAGCTCTTAAAACTCAGCAGTTATTGACGTACTATGAATTGGATTTAGGCCTCAATCATGTTGTTCGGAAATACTCTGAACAGTTGGAAGAGCATGCTAATTTTCTAATATCAGGTAATGTTAATTCTAGTTGCAATTTTTGTGAAATGTTTAATTAAATAGAAAGAAGATCAAATTAGCCTCCATGGAACTAAATTTGATAATTTTTTATATCATGTTCATATTAACATTTACAGTTCCTGGTGGCCATGATGGACCAAGTGGAGTGCTTATTTGCTCAGAAAACTATATTACATATAAAAATTTGGGTGATCAGCCAGACATTCGATGTCCGATTCCCAGGAGGAGGGTAAAACATTAGTAAACATCTTAGAATAATTATGTTTATTTCATCTTTGGCTTGAATAATTTTTTTATATTTTACCTTTGCCACAACGATTGGATGGATCACATGCAGGTTGTATAGGCTTGCAGTTAACTTTTACTCTTCTTAGATTTTAACACTTCCACTGAGCTGTACAATTTTTTAGGTCTGGGAAATATTTTGTCAAATGATTGGAAATTTTTTAATGTAATAGTATAGTTATTTTTTTTAATAGTTAAAAGTACTATAAACAGTCCTTTCTGTTGATATATATATTGCTTGTATTTATCTTTCTTGATTTGAGTCTTGTCTTTTGTCTTTTTTTAGTGTGATTTGGATGATCCTGAGCGGGGCATGATTTTTGTGTGTAGTGCTACACACAAAACAAAGGTGAGGAGAAAATTCCTATATTTTTTTTTAGCACATGATAAATCAGTTAACCAAGTATGTAGCATAATGTTATAAGATTCTGAGATGTACTTTATTGTGTATTTATAAATTAATTTATGCATACATTTGGAAGGTTAAGGTTTAAATCAAACAAATTTAAAGAAAAATTTTCCAGGAAAATCTTGATAAGTTGTACTTTATGTCAGTTAGCACATTGTACTGATAATTCTGTATGTGGTATTCACATTTGCTTTCTTTTTCAGTCGATGTTCTTCTTTTTAGCTCAAACAGAACAAGGCGATATTTTTAAAATCACACTTGAAACAGATGAAGACATGGTGAGAATAAATTTTATTGTAGTAGATATAAGTTAAAATACAAAGTTACCATTTGAAATAGATACTTATAAAATATTGCTAATATTTTTTGTTTGTTTCAGGTAACCGAAATTCGTCTCAAGTACTTTGATACTGTTCCCATAGCAACAAGTATGTGTGTGCTCAAATCTGGCTTTCTTTTTGTTGCTGCAGAATTCGGAAATCAGTAAGGTCTTCTTAAATAATTATAACTTGCATGGCTTGTATTTTAATGTCATAAAAATTTATTTAAGATAATTTAACTTGTTAAATAATAGATGAGTTCTTTAAGTTATTTCCACAGCAAGCAGGTGCTGTGGGTTTTTTTAATGTAATATATTTGTTTTTAATTACAGCCATTTGTATCAGATTGCGCATTTGGGAGATGATGATGGGGAAAGGATGTTCAGTAGTGCTAATCCACTTGAGGAAGGTGACACATTTCATTTCTCACCAAGAGAATTGAAAAATTTAGTCATGGTTGATGAAATGGATAGTTTGTCTCCTATTATAACTACACAGGTGTGTTTAATTTTATATGAATTTGAAAAGAAAGCACATATTCAGCCACTACTATTTTTTCTTATTTATTTACTGGGTAAAATAAAGCAACTTGTTGCTGCAAGTTGCTGTATTCAATCTCTACTTTCAGCTCTTCCTTCTCTTACTCGCCAACCTTAGTGCATATTCTGTTGTGTTCATTAGTATTTCTTAGATTTTTTGGGGTAGTTTTTTACCTTTAGCGTTTTTTTAAACGCTGCTTGCATCTTTTAATCAAGTTTTGTTTCGGTTTGCTTAACCAGATAGCTGATTTAGCAAATGAAGATACCCCTCAGCTTTACACATTATGTGGAAGGGGGCCCAGATCTACCCTTCGTGTTCTTAGACATGGTTTGGAGGTATATATTGTTCATATTTTGTTATTATGACTGATGATTACAGTTTTGATACTTTTCACAAAAATAGTAACATTCATTTAGACACCTCAGGATTCCCATCATCACCAACGTAAATGTCTTTGAATAAATATATTACATTTTTTAAATACTTAAGTAATTACAGGCTATTAAAATTTAGAAAAGCATTATTTTATCAATAAATTAAAATTTGTCACTGATAGCCCATAATTATTTTTACTTTAGAATGTTTGTATTTGATAGAAAATTTATATTGCAGGTATCTGAAATGGCTGTTTCAGAACTTCCAGGTAATCCAAATGCTGTTTGGACTGTGAAAAGACACACCGATGGTGAGCTCTTAATAAAATTAGACCTATGTGTACCATGTAATGTATTAATGTATTTATGCTGTGGAAGTTCTTTGAATGCAAGTAGCCCCCAATTTATGTTTTAATTAGCACCAAATTCTGAATAGTATTTTTTTCTTAAAATACCCTTTAACAAATAGCTATTATTAAAGAATATATAATTTCTATATTTATATTATAAAATTAAATTAATTTTCATATCTGGATAACATCAAAGCACATAGAAATTTTTATATACCAGTACTTTAAAATTATTAACCTTGTTCCCTGTAACTGAATAAAGAATAAATCCTAATTTTTAAGTACCTTGATTTAAAAATACATTTTAAGTTGCTCTAAGATTTGATATTGACTTTCAGCTAACATAAAACAACAAAAATCCACCTTAGTTTAAAATATGCACCTCTTTAATTGAGGGCTACTTCCATATGTCACCACTGGTAAAAGGACACACAGCTGTATTTCAAAGAGAATTTATAATTTCATTTTGTAGGGAAGAGATGAGTGGTCATAAATTTCAACTTGTGCCTTTTTTTAGTTTGGAAAATTTTTCTTCCAGCTTTTCACTTAAAAGCAGTCTGGATATTCAACATTTGCCCAGGGATCAAGTATTTTCTTCTGATTTAATTACTTGGTTTTATGTAAACTTATTACAAGTTCCATTGTTTTGTTTAGGATGATCCTTCCTGTTTCTCATGCCCCATCTGATTAACTTGGACAACTTTACTATTTGATGGCTGCATCCAATGAGCATTATTTCATACTTTTTTTTGCGTCTGGTATTGTTTTACAGCTTTCACTGGAGACGATTGTGGAAAGAAATTATTTTAAATAAAATTTAATTTTAAAAAGTTGATCAAAAGTTCAAAAGTCCGGTTTAATAAGTGGCTGGCAGGATTGAACACAATCCAACGCCAAGCCTACTTTCTTTTTTCAGGTGAAGTTCCTCTTTGTCATAGTCTCAAGGTAAGTTGATCATCCCATTCAATAATGTGCGATGGGACAGTAATTGAAAAAAAACAAAACAAAAACAAATCAGAAAAACATCAGATCAGTATTGAGTCTAATTTTCCTGTGTTTTGTAAGTAGTACACATCTTATATACAGTACATGTTGTACAAATCTTTCTCTTAATTTGGATATTTTTCACAAATATGCAGGCAAAAAATCTTCACAGTTAGAAGGAATTATCTAATTTTTTTTGTGCTTGTTTCTGGTCAGGGTAAATCCGCTTGGTATTTTGTTATAAAATTTATTGTAATTAAGTGAAATTTATACCACTTTTTCTTATTGTAATTGTTACGTTTGGGAGTAATTGTGGTGCAGTTATTTTTTGGTCCATTTATAAGACTGTCATCATTAGCGTGTTTCTTGTGACATTTTGTACTGTCCCTTGTTAAGTACAATTGTTACCTGAGGTTATATAATTTATTTTATTAATTTATTTATTTCTCAGATGACTATGATGCTTATATCATTGTGTCTTTTATGAACGCCACTCTGGTACTATCTATTGGTGAAACTGTAGAAGAAGTGACAGATTCTGGATTTCTAGGCACTACACCTACCATCTCTAGTTCACAGCTTGGAGATGATGCTCTGGTACAGGTAATATCAGCTTTGGTTTTGTAATGTAATTTCAGTTTTTACTTTAATTAATGTCCTTATTCGCTCAAGATTTTATTTTTCCTTTTTTTTTTTAATTATAATTTTTTCTGGAACTTTTTCTTTCTGTAAATGATAATAAGATTAATAATTACCATTTTTATTACTGCTGCGATAAGTTTGCATTAAATATAATTCATAGATTTACCCTGAAGGAATTCGTCACATTCGCTCAGATAAGCGTGTGAATGAATGGAAAACTCCTGGGAAGAAAAATATTGTGAAGTGTGCTGTCAACCAAAGACAAGTTGTAATTGCTTTAACTGGAGGGGAGCTAGTCTATTTTGAAATGGATCCAGTAAGTTGTAGTTTTGGATTATCTTTTACTTAATTATTTTCATCTATAATAGATTATTTTTGCCATTCTTTCATGATGTTATTAAAATTCAGTATTTATTATAAATTGTATTAAACTTAACTATATTCTGTATAGACAGGTCAATTGAATGAGTATACAGAAAGAAAAGAGATGTCTAGTAATGTTGTGTGTATGGCTCTTGGGAGAGTTCCTGCTGGAGAACTTAGGTCTCGGTTTCTTGCAGTGGGATTATCTGACAATACTGTGAGGATTATCTCCCTTGATCCAAATGTAAGCAGGCATTTTCTTCCTATTTAGGCATTGTAAATAGAGACGGTGACAGTCAGTGTCATGTATCAGCCTTTCCAAGGTTGGCTAGGTATATTCTTGTAGTCCTACTTGCTTTCCATTTATTTGGAAAGTAGAGATTTTTACCTTTATTTTGTGTGCTTTTGTAGGATTAATTATTCCAAGGAAACTTCGTAGCTGCAAATTCACACTGAAAGAGATTTATCCTGTCTTTTTTACTAGAGCCTTCCATCAATGCACAAAATCAATTAATTGCTTAACTCACGAACTGTGGCATCCATTTTTCTGTGGTGTGGAGCTTTGAGTGCCATTTGAAATTGCATTAAATGACATAGAAATATTGATACCATACACCAATAAATGTATATTTTTAGAAAGGTAAATGGATGTGGATAAAGTTGGCTGTATTGCCCACCCTGTAAAAAATTTTTGCTCAGTTCCTTGACCTTGGAGTTCTCAAGAATAAAAAAAATAGACAAAATGTCTTGCTTTCAAGTGCTCATAACATCATTAATTTTTATAGAAATGTTGTAGCAAATTCATTTATCTTTAAGAAAATGTATAGTTTAATGTTTTCATTGCAATTAAACGTCTGAAAGCAATTTGAGTAATTTTAGGTCATTTATATAAGAAACTGGGGACCACTGCTAAAACCAAGTACAAAAATACAAAATCCCAGCCAAAATACTTATTATTGACTTGAGTAAACATTTAAAAAGGAACTGTGGAACTGATTTGGGTTGGAATTTATTAGTTCTGAACTATAATCTGTAGATTCTGTGACTAAAATTCAGTCAGCCCTTGCCCAACCTCCGGGCTTTGCGAATAGCCTCAGTAGGCCTACTTCAGTATCACTAAGACTTGTATAAAATTTACGGGAAGAATAAGCTCAACTGATATCGTCATGGGGAATGTTAAAATCAACAGGAGTATCACTTAAAACCTCTCTTAAAAAGCTTTCAAACATATTTTTATTAGTTCTTGCACTGAAGGCCCAACCATAGCGTCAACCATTTTATCTTTTTAAAAAAAGGTATAAAACTCTGATTAATAAGTATTTATTTTCAAGTTATCGCAAAACAGCTTGAACCAGAAGATTATTTAATTATTAATAAAAGGAAGTGGCTATCATTCTGGTTGAATATTGGATTGGAAGTAGCTATCAGACAGTGTTTTTTATCGGCCGCCACAGTACAGAATGAGAATGTCGGCCGATTTTTTTCGGCCGACCACAGTTCGTGGGTTAAGAGAAAATTTTTATTGATTTATAATGCATTGGGTTTTTTTTTGTTTGTGTAATGTGATTCATATATTTTATATATGCAAGTTTAACTTTATGATGAGATTATACTATTTTTAATGGACTTTTTTTTTTTTTTGGACTGATGTCTTAGTGTGACATGTGGCAATGGTGAATAATAGTGAATTAATGTAGTAAATGATCCTTCAGCATTTAAATTAATCTAGTGGTCACTTCATGATGCGGTATCGGTGCCTTTACTTTGCCCATGCTTCGAGTCTTAATTTCTCTTAAATTTTAGGATTGCTTGTCACCACTAAGTATGCAGGCGCTTCCAGCTCCACCAGAGTCATTGTGTATCATTGAGATGGGTGGTACTGAAGCAAAAGAAGAGACCGGAGAAACTGCTACAGCCGGTGGTATCTACCTTAATATTGGTTTACAGGTCAGTTGTGCATGTGAACGAGAAGGGTTGTTATTATTAAGTATATATTTATGGGGATAGTAAACTATTTATGGAAATTTATATATTGTTCTGTTGCATACATTTTTTTAGGAATAACCCTTTACAAGGCAGATGTTCTTTTTTTTTGGTTACTCTAAAAAGGCAACATTTTTCCGGTTTTAGTAAGATTTAAGGGTACGTTAGTACAAACATCAAATCTAAGATGTTAGTATACAAATTTTTTGAACTAAAAAGCAAAATAAAGGAAAATTAATGCAGATTTATTATTTTACTAGCATGTTGAAGTAATCAACACATGAACAAAAATATTTGCAAAATACATTTTCACTATGAATGTCAGTCATCTATTTACTATTTACAAACACTATGCCATGAAATCGAAGTGTGTACACTGCTTACGTTGATATTGTTAATAATATTGATATCTAGTTTTGATTCATAGTGCTTTTCGTGCATTTCAATGTCACTTAAATTGAAAACAGTGAAAGCTCTGCTATCACTTGAAGAATCGTCGAAATCCAGTTTGAAAAATAAAGTATTAAAACCCTGAAAATACTAGTAACTGCCGCCCAAGCTGTCTGCAAAACGAATGTAAACAATGGGAAGTCTTGCAAAGTCTCGGAGATAGCGTGTTTACAACTCTTAGTTATCACAGACACTTTTGGACTCTGTAAAGGGTTAAGTTGTAAAAAAGTAATGTGGACATGATGTTTTTCCGTGTTTCACCTGAATTTTGTTTGATGTACAATGTTGAAGATCTGATCCACATTAAGTTTTGTATTTAGCATTGGTTTAATATTATGAAAAAATTAGTTTAAAAATAATTGTGGATGGAGTTGCATCAAATTAATTAACATTATTTCATTTCTTAGAATGGTGTTTTGCTGCGGACTGTGCTTGACACTGTCACAGGAGACTTATCAGACACGAGAACTAGATATCTTGGATCTCGACCTGTCAAACTTTTCAGAATATCCATGCAGGGATCAGAAGCTGTAAGTGGTTTATTTTTATATTTTTAGCATATATTTTGTTATATTTCTGTGATTTCACCTGAGCTGAAGGCTATCACTTATGCTAACTGGTGATAGGCTTTTTGTTTTTCTTTTGATGTGTTGTTAATTATCATTATCATTTATAATTATCATTGCCATTATTTAGTAATTTCTTTTTGATGTTCTTTATTTTTAGGTACTGGCAATGTCAAGTCGAACATGGCTCAGCTATACTTACCAGAGCAGATTTCATTTAACTCCATTATCATATGAGACACTTGAATATGCATCAGGTTTTGCTTCAGAGCAGTGTCCAGAGGGTATTGTTGCCATTTCTACAAATACATTGAGGTAAATAATCACCAGAGCAATTATTTAAAGCAGAGGTCACCAAAAATTTTTAACAGCGGGCCGTATAACAATAGGATGAGCACGGGCCGCATAATCATTCTGTAAAATACTTGCAAGCCAGAACAGAACGAAAGCTCTAGGAAAAAAGACTGAAAACTAAGAGTAATATTCCATGTAAATCATGGGTGTTAACCATGGCAACGTCAGTGCGGAGCTACCACGAGCCGGGAAAGGACTTGGGAAGGCGCGAAATAAGCAATCATTGCAATAATTTAAACAAACATGAAAAATCTCAATACAATAATTTAAAATTGAAAATGGTAAAGTTAAATCACCTAGTATTCTAAAATAATGTTTAAATTGTACCACAACATCTCGTGTTACATAAGTTTTATCAAGCAAAATCAATACCGTCGGTAGGCCTTATGAAATGACGTCAGTTTTGGTGACCCCTGATTTAAAGTATAATAAAGCGATGCTTTCATCTATCACTATTATGATTCCCTTGTATTTGATATTTCTTTAAAATTTCTGTGGACCCTTAAAATCTATACATTTTACACAACACAAAACAAACAACTTTTATTATGTTTCTTTGGTGAGCAAATTTGGTACATAATTTATGCAAAAACAATAACTTTGTTTTAAAGCATTACACATACACATAGCTCTAGTTGAATTTATTAATATATTTCTACAGAATTTTGGCACTGGAAAAATTAGGTGCTGTGTTCAACCAGGTGGCATGGCCCCTTCAATACACTCCTAGAAAATTTGTAATTCATCCAGAATCAAATAATTTAATCATTATTGAAACAGACCACAATGCTTACACAGAAGAGACAAAACAACTGAGGAAACAGCACATGGCTGAGGTAAAAATGATTGGGAGAAATATTTAATATTTATTTGTTGACTTTTTCATTTTTATAAAGGTAATATATTTTAAATTAATATTTTAACATTCATTTCATGTTTTCAATTACATTTTGTGTTAAAGCAACCCTTGTAAGAATATCTATTAACTATTTTTAAGCACTGTTGTTTAATTTTAGGTTACTAGAAGCAAATTTTCAGTTATGTAATCAAAGATGATGAACAAACTTTCTCTCAGCTGAGTGTCTTTTTGATGACAACCTCTGGTACACTCTCTGATTTGATTGCATGTTGTAATAAGCTATTGAATTATTGCTTTTTTTAACTCTTACTCTTAACTCTGCTGTTAACTCTTACCGTTTTGATGAATATTGTACGATTTTGAGGTATCTTTTACGTTTGAATGCCAAGACCCATCACAACTAAGATTTTAAGAAACTAGATTGAAAATATATACATTCCAATAGTTATTTCGATTTATAAAAATAATATTCCAGAAGTACATTTTGGGTTGTTAGTTTTAACCTTCTTGTCCATGTTGTGAAGAATATGATTTTTTGGGGACCAAATATTTTTTAGGGGGAGGTGGATGTACCATGGCAATAGAAATTTCAGCCGAGCAAAATAATTATGCAACAAAATAACATCATACAGCTAAAACTCACTTGGGCGACTATGCTATTATTACTGCAGCCGTGTCTAGCAAGTACATTATGAACACACATTAAAGAATGCATTTTTAACTGTTCGGCGCGGCAATATTAGTTTTTGACATATTTTGTAGTATCTGAGAGGGCCGCTGAAATCTATTTTGGAACACACAAAACAGCTGTACGATTTTTAGTACTCCCGTTTGGCTCCTTTCACCCATTTACAGCTTGTGATAGTTATCAGACTATAATATATTAGCAGGAAACAGGTTTAATGGATATTGATTTATTGTTTTTTTTTAAACCAGCTTTTCCTAAATTATAAATCACAAGTTTGTTGGTAGGTTTTTTAAATGTCATCATTTGTTGATTACCGTATTTTTCGGTGTATAAAATGACTAGGCATATAAGACGACCCCCTACTTTTCCTGTTAAAATATAAGGTTTGTGCTTTATACCAGCTTATAAGACGACCCCCAGCGTATAAGACAACCCCCGACTTTAACAAGATTTTCATGGGTTAAAAAGTCATTCTATACGGCGGAAAATACGGATAATTCTCATTTCCATTTTTATTTTATGAATATCTTTCTTCGAGTTTGAACCACGTTAAATTTTACCAGTAACTTTATTTTACCAGAACTGACTGTGATAATGTGATCTGCATATTCAATCAGTATGAATTAATATCAATTGCAAATATTTGTCAGCAAATGAAATTGACAGCAGATTGCAATTTAACGGTCTGTCATTTACTTTTAGCAGCTACCTTTTATGTGCCCCTAAACACACTGCGTTCAAACTAGTATCAAAATAAATGTCGACAAAGAGGCTTTCTTCCGGTAGAACTATAAATAGTAATGCCCAACAGATTTCCGCTGTACTAAGCGATGTAGTAAACAACCTCAAAACGTGCGGGTTTTGCGGAAACGGACTGTAGGCTTAAGGAAAAAATCAGCGCGTTTCGGGCGCACCGAACTGTAAAAGGTTAACACGATCCCACATGACATGCGATGCGAGTAGTTATTATATTTACTGTATATTTATTTACCATTAAGATACTGTATTGTATGATTTTAAGACGATATTGTACAATTTTAGGAGTTTGGGGTAACAGGTCTGATAAAGCTTTAATTGTGAATATTGTATTTTCAGTGCATCTTATACTCAGCCAGTTTAAAAACCTTGTATTTAAATTATATCTACAGGAATTAATAGAAGCAGCAGATGAAGATGAACGTGAGCTTGCTGCAGAAATGGCTGCACAATTTTTAAATGAGGACCGCCCAGAGACAATATTTGGAGCCCCAAAAGCTGGACTTGGCATGTGGGCATCTGTTGTACGCATTATTAATCCAATAACAGGAGAAAATTTGGAGAAAATAGCATTGGATCAAAATGAAGCAGCTCACAGGTAAAAAAAAAAAAAGAAGCACACTGGTATTGTTAGTTTTATATACTTTTTACTTGATACTTGGCCGAAGAAATTATCTGATCCAATAAAATTCTACTCATTGTTTTTTTAATTGAAATGTTTTCCCAAACTGTGCAAGGAACACATAAGCCTTATTTTAGGGGATTTTCATTAAATTATAAATTTAACAGATGTCATCCTGTTCACAAAGTTTCCAGTTTTCCGGCATCGTAATAAATGCACATCATTTTAAATTCCAGAAATAGGTAGATTGTTTTTCTTTGTTATTATATTTAAAAGGTAGGAAATTTATGTAAATTTAATACGCATATTCAGTGTGTTTACCTCGGTGTGTGGGCGAAAAAAATATTTTAATTTGTACTATATTGTTTTAAAGTTGTAAGCAAAATGAAAACAAAATTAAATGCTACATGTTTTATTGATGAAATGAATTCTTTTTCTCTTCCAATTTTTCAGTGTTGCTTTGGTAAAATTTTCTTGTAAACCAGATGATACCATTCTTATAGTTGGTATTGCCAAAGATCTAGTGTTGAATCCACGTTCTGTCACAGGTGGAGAACTCTTAACTTATCAAGTAAGTAAATAAATACCAAAAAAGTATTAAAGTAAAATGGATCTTAAAGTTATCAAAAATGATGAACAATCTTTCTCTCATCTGAATGGTCAGGTGAAGATACCCTTTGGTACAACTTTCTGATTTGATAAACATAGCTAGTTTTTTTTATAGGTGAACTCTCAAATATTTTTGGCAATTTTATTATCTTTATCATTAAGTACCTTTACAATCTGGCTGGTTGTTCAATGAAGAACATAGCAATATTAACATGTAATATATATTTGTATTCTGATTTGAATTATCTATTAACAGATCAGCATTAATTATGGTTTTCATACCTAAAGATTGAGTTTTTTTCGTTTACTAAATTAAAAAAATATCACATGGTAGAAGTAAATTAAGTATTGGTAGAAAAAATAAGTAATGAGACCTAAGCAAAATCTTTATTTCCATCCATGGTATCCATTTCTAAAACACGTTAAAATTTCAAGCACTTTTACCATTTGTTTTAATTAGGCTACTTTTTAAAATGCATCCATAAATTAAAAAAAAAAAATAGAAATTTTAGAATTTGATCACTGATTTTAAAAAAATGTAATTTAATAGGGCAAGTTTTTCATGAGAGAAATACCATTATTATCGATGATATAAGTGGGTAAAAATTATTTAAATATATTTCTTTTAAAATGTTCCACATTGGGTACAACTAAAAAAAAATGATTTTGAAATTCGACATTTTCAATTTTCTAGAAAATTAATATTTTTAAAAATGGCAGCACAATAAGTTCTAGATTGTCTCTCTATTTTACGAATCAAATAAAGATTTTGCCCATTATTTCTTTACTGGGAGTGTTATGTTAACAAATTAATCAATGTCTAAAGAAAAGGTATTATTATTTTGAGTTCAATTAAACATAAATTAAAAGTTTCCATTTAGTTTAAACCAATTTAGTTAAAGCAGGGCTCAGATAAGTTAATCCTTTAATTAGTAACTAATTACTGTATTTCATATATTATTATAACCTTAAAAATTGCTAATAAAATTTACTCCACATATTGGATGAAATCAAAGTTACATGCAATAAATACCATTAGATTTGTTATAATTGTTAGAAGCTAATTAAAAAAATCCTATAGACAAGTATTTGTTTTTAATCTTAACTGCTAGGTAACAGAGAATGGAACAAAGCTTGAGTTACTTCATAAAACACCAGTAGAGGATATTCCTGGGGCCATTACACCTTTCCAAGGGCGAGTACTCATTGGAGTTGGGAAGTTTTTAAGAATTTATGATTTAGGAAAAAAGAAGCTGTTGAGGAAATGTGAAAATAAGGTTTGTTCTAGTTATTTGGTTTTTGATTTGTGGAAATGATGTTTTCCGTGTTTCACCTGAAATCATTTGATTATATTTTATTGAAACTGATCCACATAATGTTATTGTGTGTTTTTAAATGCTTTAATTTTACAAGCAATAGTAAAGCCCCTTAAATTTGAAAGGTGTAATAAAGGAGTTTTATAACAACTGTTATATTCTATTATTTATATTATAAAACTAAAAGTAATTGATAAATACATTTGAAAACTTAATACATTGTGAAGGAAATGAAACTGAAAGTGCAATATGTCCATGCAAAGTCACATACATTTTTCCCCATTACAATTTCAGCACATCCCAAACTTTGTTGTTAGTATCCATACGATGGGTAATCGAGTTATAGTTGGAGATGTACAAGAGAGCTTTCACTTCTTGCGATATCGCAGACCAGAGAATCAGCTTATAGTTTTCTGTGATGATACAAATCCTCGATGGGTAACATGTTCCTTCATGCTGGATTATAATGCAATAGCTGGTGCTGACAAATTTGGGAACATAACAGTAGTAAGTATTACATTAATTTTTATTATGGTAATAAAGGGGAGAGACAGCAGTCATGTTTAGATGAAAGAAATAAGGAAATAAGGCAAGGTATGGGAAAAACTGAAAAAATGATACAACAAAACAATGAATGTGTCTGCAAACAAATTGTGAAGACAAAATAAAATTGTAGTATCCAAGAGGACAGCAAGAGGAATGTGATAGAACCTAAGTAGCTTTTAGTCGTAACAGAGATCGAAGAAAAAGTTAAGTGAAGGAGAACACGACAATCATGCAAAGTGTTGTCAATGTACTAATTTTTAGTACCAGTACATGATTTTTATGAGTATATTATTGGTTTAAAGTTTGAAACAATTTATTTCATATATTCTTAAAGAAAAGTTTGACTTTGAAGATTTTTCAATTAAAAAATAAATTGTTACTTTTAGACCTTCAAACTATGAATAATGAGAAAATTGGAGAAATTATGTATTATTTTCATTACAAATAAGATAAAATTTAATAGACAATGAAGTGAGTAATTTATTTTCAATACATTTTTTAATTACTTTGTTCCAAAGATTCGTCTACCGACTGAAGTCAGCGATGATGTTGATGAAGATCCTACGGGAAATAAAGCATTGTGGGACAGGGGACTACTAAATGGAGCATCCCAAAAGGTGGGACAAAATTTCTAATTATATTTCTATCTTCCAATCTTTCTTATGCCCTAAAAAAAATGTAGCTGTTGCAAATTATTAGCCATTATTTTTTTTTCCACAATTTAAAACTTAGTGTTTGTAATGAAATCTGAATACTCATGTGAATGTGGAACTGATGTTTACCGTGTTTCAAATGAGCTGATATGATTATAATTTTATTTACTGATCCACATATAAATTAAACATGAGCCCATAAAGGCCTTTTCTCTTGATCTCCTGAATTAGGGAATATTTTTTGTGTGCATATTAAACAATTATGTCACAAGATAAGACTATCTATTAAATACCAGGTGATTTTATTTGAACGCTATTATATAAATTTTGAGCACATGTGAAGCGGTTCTACCATTTAACAATTGACATATTGAGGTATTTATGGAGGTGACTCAAAGAAATAAGCATTGTTAAACAACAGCAAAGTAGTTTGTCTTGGCATAATTTAATTTACATATTTTTTTGCACACACTGCAGTTTATAGTGTGAGGTTTTATATTATTTATATGTTTACTCTATAACATGTTATCAATTTTTTTATAACACAGTGACATTACTTTATGAGATCTATACATTTTTGTTCAAATGTATTGTACTGAATTGTTATGTGCAAATTTATGTTGAACAGGCAGACATCATCGCCAACTTTCATGTTGGAGAAGTTGTAACTTCTTTGCAAAAAGCCACTCTCATTCCTGGAGGATCTGAGTCTTTGGTATATACAACATTGTCAGGCAGTATTGGAATGTTGGTACCATTCACCTCCCATGAGGTTAGTAGCAGTTCTTCTTTTTTTAAAGTCCCATATTTTTTTTATTATACTTATTTTTTTATGTAATCAAATATGATGATCAATCTTTCTCTCATCTGAATGCTCAGTTGAAGATAAACTTTGGTACAACTTTCTGATATGATTACAAGAAACTATTTAAATTTGAAGGTTTATTAAACCCCTGCAAAGAAAATAGTATGTTGGAAATAAATGAAGTTCATACAAAAGTGTTAATGTTATTTTTTTCAATGGTTACATCAGAATTTGAAATACTAGATCTCTTCTGTTTAGTTATTTGATATTTAAATAAGTTCTGGTTGTTAGTTTTTGCATTACATCTGACCAATTTCCCTCTTAAAAAACTGGCTGCTGATATATTAAATTTGTTCTAGGATCAAGATTTTTTTCAACATTTGGAAATGTACATGAGGCAAGAGTACCCATCTTTATGTGGAAGAGATCATCTGGCTTTTAGATCATACTACTTCCCTGTCAAGGTAATAAACAAAATCATAAAAATGTGCTTTCAAAAATTGGTTGCATCTTTCCATTGGATGATTTCCTGATTGTTCCCACGTGAACTCATTTAGAATCTTTTTCATTGTATTTTAGGGTCTTATGCAAACATCTGTTAACTCATTCCCCATGGTTGCGACTAAATGCGTCCTCTTGGGGGTTCCTCCTAATGCGTCCCGGGGCATAGCGACACACCTCTCTTATTTTTAGTTAAAAATAGCAATGAAATCTCGCATTCCTCGAGACTTCTGGCTATGGTGTGATTTTAATTTAGAAACCGGAAGTTTTTATCTTGTTTCACTTAAAAACTACATGTGCTATAGTACGGTGCGTCTATATGTAGCATGTGTTCGTCTGAGGTGCCTTGCTAGATAGAGACACACTGTACCCAGGAATACATAGATTTGAAAGTGAAACAAGATAAAAACTTCTAGTTTTTAAGTTAAAATCACACCATCACCAGAAGTTTTGATTGATGTGACATTTCATTGCTGTTTTAAAATTAAAATAAGTGATGCATTGTTTGAACTTCCCAATGACATATTTAGTCGCTACGGTTGGAAATGAGTTAAGATGTCTTTCTAGATACTCAATAGATTTCAAAATTCATATTTTCATATAAATTTCTTATTCTGCAAGTTTATTTTACTAAGATTGTCATGATTACGTACATGCACACATGCATTGTTACCCCACATGAAAATTAAGAAATTGCATGAAATCAATGTTTTCCTCTGCGATCATTTATAAAATATTTTGATCAATGGGATGGGTTCATTAAATGTTTACAACCTCTTTTGCCATGTTTTTACAATTCTGAAAGTAAAAGTTTCTTTCAGTGTAATAATTCATTATTTAATTACTTTATTTTTAGAATGTTATTGATGGTGATCTGTGTGAAGTTTTCAACTCGATGGAAACAAGCAAACAAAAATCAATAGCAGAAGAATTGGAAGACAGAAGTGCTAATGAGGTAAATATACTAGCATATTTGTAATGTACCTAACTCTAATTTTTAAACTATTTATTACATTTTTTTTAAAAAGCTTAATATTTTTAAATAACTTTTATATTTGACATATGTAAATACTTGATGTGAATTTTCTTTTTTACAGGTTTCCAAGAAACTTGAGGATATCAGAACAAGATATGCATTCTAGTTATACATTTCATTGTAGCTCTGTATTTTAGTTACCGGGTATAAATTAAAATTTATACTGCTTTTAGAACAAAAAACAGTTGAAAAAAGTTCATGACATTGTTAAAAGAGAGCAAGGTTTCATATGGATCATCACCGTCAAACCTCTGTGCATATATCAATAGAGGTAGCTATATATGTTGATCTGTTGTAAAATGAATTTTGTAATTATCCTTACTTAAATAGTTGGTAGTTGTTAATTTATAATTTCTCAAAAAAAAAAAAAAAAAAAATAAAGAAATTAACTTAAATAAAAACCTTACAAAAAAAAAAAAAAAAAAAAAAAAAAAAAAAAAAAAAAAAAAAAAAAAAAAAAAAAAAAAAAAAAAAAAAAAAAAAAAAATCACGAATCCTTCATAATTACCAGTATATCACCACTTATAACAGGCACTACACCAAATTACTACAATAAGGATTCCCCGAATGGATGTTTTCTGATGTTTTTACAGTTTACCGAAGAATAAACGACAGATAAATAATGATAATGTGTTGGAAAGCACACTGTGGACAATCGATGCATTGTATCCTTTAGAAGTTGTTGTTTTTCTGAAATTCAATGCATTGAATGAACATATTTAATCATCAGTTGGCATAAATTTGGCACAAGGTCAGACCAATGAATTTCTTGGCATATTTCTTCCTGAACCAGGTTTTACACATAAGCATTTATACCACAAGTTGCCTTAGTAAAGTTAGATTCCCGAATTTCTCGTTTGTCTTACTGTAACAGTTGAATTGCCGTGAGCCGGCTCGGTTGTTGCTAAATATGGTTGTCAAAAAAAAATTCCGAAAACCAGAAAACTGAATGAGCTATAGGCTATATACGCTCTCAAAGAAGATGTATGATTTAACAATAAGGCAAATTTTCAGACGATAATCGGGCGGCTAAATAAAGACAAAATTGAAAGGTCTTCATCGTCAAGGGAGGTAACAATGTCTCGTTTAATTGACAATATTGACAAAGCATTCAATCGAACACGGGACATTGATAATCTCAAGTTAGTTTTTATCAAATTTATTTGTGGAAATGATGGATTGTTTTTAAATACAGTTAGAACGTAGGCCTCATTACAAAAAATCGGAAAAAATGCCAAGTCAAATGGGGCAGTACGATTCAATTTTAAAGCGAATAATTTCAAGTCATGTTACAAAAATATTTTAACAGCACACATATTTCTTTGAAAAATTTTCTTAAATTCCTTTTTTTTTAAATAGTTAAAACTAAAGGATTTTATTTGTTGCGAACCCAGTGGATGGCCGAAAGGACGACTGAGAAATCCAATAAACATTTCACGTCACAAGAATTCTACATGTAAAAAAAAAATATTTAAAAAGCCGCACACAATTTGATACCAAATATTCGGGGCTATTAAAACTTTCCACTTGCTATTGTTATACTTCGTTTGGTTAAAATAATTCGTTCTTGGCTACGATGAGTGTTTTAATTTTGTTCGGAAATTGTATCAAGATTTAAAGAATTCTATACCAGATCAGTAATCTATAGATCTAGTTTATTAAATAGATCATAAATCATAAAGACCCAGTCGAGACACATCGCCTCGCTTTATTGATGACTTGCCGTGCTAAGAGCGCCACAACCTACAACAGTATCGAGAGAGAGAGAGAGCGAGAGAGAGAGAGAGAGAGAGAGAGAGAGAGAGAGAGAGAGAGAGAGAGAGAGAGAGAGAGAGAGAGAGAGATAAAATACGTGAAAGAGAAGAGAGAGAGGGAAAATATATAGATATATTAAAAAAAAAAATAAAACATATAAAAAAAAAAAAAAAAAAAAAAAAAAGAGAAAAAAAAAAAAAAAGTTCATGACATTGTTAAAAGAGAGAAAGGTTTCATATGGATCATCACCGTCAAACCTCTTTGCATATATCAATAGAGGTAGCTATATATGTTGATTTGTTTTAAAATGAATTTTGTAATTATCCTTACTTAAATAGTTGGTAGTTGTTAATTTATAATTTCTCAAAAAAAAAAAAAAAAAAGTTATGGAATTAACTTACATATAAACCTTGCAAAAACAAATAATTAATTTTATCAGGTGTTAATAATGTGAAGCAAATTTCAGTTTTGGGAAAAACATGACCTTGCAACATAAGACAAATTAGCTTCATAAAGCCTATCATTAAATTCAATTAATGTGTTATTACTGTGCATAAAATTACTTAAGATCGAGGTGATGATGCATAAAAAAAAATGTGGCCTTTTTGAAGAAAACATTTAATACTGACATTGGCTAGTGTGTTCATCAAACCTAGAGATTGAATCATTTGTATTTAATGTATTTTTCTGCAAGTTATTTTTTTAATAGTATGCTAAAACAGCCATGCTATTAGGAACATGTATATTACTGTATATATCTAAAAACTTCGGTTGTAAATATTTATTTGACAATTAAGGTTTAAGTCAAGTAGCACTGAATAAACTTGTGTTATTACATTTCTCTTTATCGAACACTTTATTTATCATCTCACTAAACAGATGATTTCAGTTACGGTACTGAAGATTTTTTAAATTTTACTTTGTTTAATTAATGAAGGTTACATTAATACAGTCTTAGTGAATTTGAGTTTCAATTGTAATAAGTAATTTTCTTCTAATAGCATGCAGTTGACAAAATGGTATTGATATTTGTATTTTTAAAACATGTTGAAATATAATTTGTTCATTGCATATTTTGTGAAATAAACTTGATGGAATTTAATTTTTATTGTTTTGTTTTTATGCTTTTATATATTAGACCATTAAAATTGCAAACATCTTATGTAATACTGTAACTGTAAATTGTTTGAATCTGTTGCTGACATAACTGATAGATCAACAGTATCACTCACTTATGATTGTTTTTTTGATATGGGTTAAACTAAATTTAATTAGTTCAGGTTATGAAAATGATCTCCAAAGACCCATCAAACTGTAATGAGATCTTGCTTGGAAAAAAACAAAAATACAAATAGTACAGAATTACACTTAACAAAACCTACTTTTTAAAAATATCCATTAATATCCATTATCTTATTCCCGTTGATGAAAAATGTGAAGAAAACATAATATAATATCTTAAGTGGTACATACTTTTGTAAAGTTACAGTTAGGCAACACAATTTCTATGAGACTCATGTGCTTAAATTAAAAAAAAAAAAAAAAAGAAGTGACAAGTGATAGCTAGTATTCATTTACACAGGGAACGGTAACAAAATAAAATTGTAGGCTAAATGTAAAAAAAAAAAAAAAGAAAAAGCGTGTGTTTATCTCATCACTGTATTATTTGTATAAACTTTAAATTAAATTGTGACAAGTCAATAATAATATTAATATTTTGCCAACGTTATTTAAATTTAAGCACTGATATACTATTAGTGTTACTATTAATAGGCTTTTTTATTCACTTTCATTTTTAATTTTAATACCATCACTATCAAAACCTGATGCTCTGTTCAAGTAGGAGAGCTTTATCCAAAATTTTGTTTTCCCCATAAGAAACCAAACGAATGTGCTTTCATTATGACTTTTTAAATTCAAAGTTATTTTTAAAGGCCCGTCTAACTATAAAAGGTTGGAGTGATTATTAACTAGAGAAGATTTCATTCAGGAAATTGTGGTCACATGACTAAACGTCATGCGCAGTGTAAGTGCGCGTCGAGCCAGAAATGGCAGCCAACATAGTTCATTACGATGGATACCACTGTTTAGATTTTCTATTTGACTTAGTTATTGGCTATCATGACACCTTAAGAGCCTGATTAAATAAAAACGTTTTTTCCTCTGCCACATGGGATGGCGGGGAAAAAGAAAAGTGGCTATGACGGCAAAATTGCTGGGTTGTATGATTTGGAAGAGACAATTGGACAGGGTCATTTTGCTGTAGTGAAGCTTGCTAGGCATGTATTCACTGGGGAGAAAGTTGCTGTTAAAGTAATAGATAAACAAAAGTTAGACGACATTTCACGTTCGCACCTATTTCAGGAAGTTAGATGCATGAAGTTGGTTCAGCATCCAAATGTTGTCCGATTGTATGAAGTTATTGATACACAAACAAAACTGTACCTTATCTTGGAGTTGGGTGATGGGGATATGTATGATTACATTATGAAGCATGATGATGGATTGGATGAAAAGTTGGCCAAAAAGTATTTTCGACAGATTGTAGAAGCAATTTTGTACTGTCATCGTTTACATGTAGTGCATAGAGATCTTAAACCAGAAAATGTAGTGTTTTTCAACAAACTTGGTCTGGTAAAGTTAACAGATTTTGGATTCAGCAATGTCTTTGCACCAGGAAAAAAATTGGAGACCTCCTGTGGCTCATTAGCTTACTCAGCACCTGAAATTTTATTGGGAGATTCCTATGATCCACCAGCAGTTGGTAAGATTTAATCAAATATTTAATGGTCCATTATTATTTTGTAGCAATAACTTTACATTTCTATTATTATTTTTTTTATTGCCACTGAGACTTCAGGCTTCAGACAAGTTAATCAGTTGAGGTATAGTAGGCTTATTTATTACAAATTATTATGGGCATAATAACTAGGCTAAATAAAAAATCTAGACAGTAGACAGGTTAGACTTGGTAGTACTTAGCAGCGAATAAATGGGGTATAGAATTAAAAGCTTGGTGAGATTAAAGTAACCCATTGCCATGCCCATGCCATGTTAACTTTCCGAGTTTCATTTCATAACAGTTAATAACAGTAGTGCAATTATGATGCTGAACATTTAAGGCTAACACTAACACTTTGGGCTATACTAAAGTGTAACTTACCCATAAATTTAAAGTTCATTAATGATGATTACTTAAACTTTTTTTGTAAAGGTGTAGTTAACGGCATGGGTTTTGCCAAGGGTTGTCTAACCCTAAGTGCAGTGATGTCACTTTGGGTGGGGAGACCCAACACTGGACTTAGGGTGCGTAGACCAATAGTTGGTCCTGAGCGATTTATAGGATAACTTTCCCGTTCTTCTTTGAGGATAATTTAGATCTGATCATATAAAGTTAATATGAAACACAGGTATTTTAAAATGACAATTTCCGTTTGTCTTACTTTTATTAAAATTCAACTTTTATGGTTCAAAAGAAATGAATGAAAAAATTCTAAATTCATCCTTTCTGATAACTTAAGTCTAACACCTGAAACAAAGACGCATGCATTGTTAAAAGTGCTATACTATCTTTAGAATGTAAAAAAATAAAGAAAAAATAATTTGTCAAGGAACCCTTTTAAAGAAATGGTAGGTGGGGGGCAATGTTCCCTCTAAGGTTTGTTGGTTCGTGTGCAAAATTTTACAGCCCACAAACACAAACAAACACTTAGATAAATATTAGCTGCGCAGATACTCAAAACTGTTGCACGGCGTCTGTGAGATAGCTGCGCGGCCCCTCAGCTTAAAGGGAACATTGGTGGGGGGGCTGTTAGTGCTTAATAGATCCTGGCTCGGAAGTAGAAAAAAATGGCTCTTAATAAATAACATGATTAAACATAATGAGAATTAAGCATTTCAATATTTGGTCAAGATTTAAAAAAAAAAAAATGCTCAAAAGGTTGACTGCTTCTGTTATTAATTATAATATCAACATTTGATATTTCAATGTGAAAGCCTTTAAAAAATGGGGCTTTTATCTTGTAATTTTTTAAGTGTCATTTACTTAACACTTCTTAGTTTTCAATAGGGGTGTGCCGGATTCCGGTCCGGAATCCGGTTCCGCCGGATTTTGCACTATCCGGTGAAATCCGGTTCTGCCGGATTTACATGTATCCGGAACAACCAGAATCCGGAATATTTCGGAATTTGCCAGATTTTGTGACTCACCGGATCATAATCTGAAATAAAAGTAATTCTCTTTCCCGAATTCCACACGATCACGATACATTAATCGATTGTTTCGAGCGTTGAGCTTGTTTTATGTTTAATATTCCGTACATACCAGAGGCTAGAGTCAGCACCGCTAATAGTGGCCAATAGTGTAGGGACTTTGATTAGAAAATTTAAACTTTTTGTAAAAATAAACCAATGGCATAGTTGAAAAGATGTAATTTTTTAAAGAATTATAACACCAAAATCATATATTTAGCTGTTGTAGTTTTAAAGTTATGAATTTTTAAAGTACGACTTGGTTTGTCATTTTTTAACATGGACTGCATCTCCACATTCTGTGATCTCATTCCGCCAATCCCGTCATGCGCAATGACTATATAGTTTATATAAGGCAACGCATTCCCTGCCTTATCACTAAAATACTGTTTAGACTTAGTTTAAACTTTCAACTTTGGCACATGAATAATTAATTAAAGCTTTCCCTGACCAATGGTTTAATAGTTTTTGCACACGGCAAACTCTTATGAATGAAACTCTGAGGTAGTACTACGATACAGTTATGCAAGTGGCTGTGAATGGTTGCCAATGACAACGTGTTGCACACGGTAAATTCTGATCATTTATAATATGGATTCTACCGGGTTGTTAAAGCTCAAATTAAAACATTCCAGTTTAAATGTCTTTAAATGCATTCTGAAACACAAGTTATCAATTATTTTGATGTAAATAGTGATAATAAATTAATATTTCCTAAGTATCGTCAACTTCCGCCATTAAAAAGGGGGGCGTGGCCAACCCCATGGCGAAATTAGGTTGAGCGAGCTGCATAACCTGCTGCGAACGCGTAGAAACATGGCGTCTCTCGTAAGACACTTATCCAAATGGAACGGAACTCAAATATATATCGAAAGTACTAATTTAATAATAAATAGACACACACATCGGAAAATTAAAAACTCGGATTTTTTGGCGCCGATTGCGAATTCCCATACACAAAAAGTAGTAGTCCACCTTGACTTACCGAAGTATCTACCAATAGTACCAAAATCCAGAATCCGGGAGAAACTGGAATCCGGATTTCGCATAAGAAAATCCGGATCCGGTTGGAAAAAACGGATCCGGCACACCCCTAGTTTTCAAGGTTTAAAAATTATTGCTGCATGTAACATGAATTCATTTTAAAATAGTCCATGCACATTCTTAGACAAAAGATGACTCTAATAATTTCAATAACAGCATACATTTTACTCTTAGTATTCTTAGCCTTATACCAATAGTTTTTGGAATGTACTATTCAAAGCCAAGTTCAACTCTTAAGCCTCTTTATTTTGTATCTCCTCAACTGTGTAAAATGTTTTTTCTCCAACTTTTCTAGTCATATTACAATCTAAAATCTGCTGACTCAGTATTCTAGTTTTGCTTATTTTTAGTTCTTTGTGTCAGAACTTGGTGACCATAAACCTGGTGTTAAAGAGGTAAAGTTGTAAAAAATGTATCACATATCTGAAAAATGTATCACATATCTGAAAATTCTTAAGTAAGACAGAAGGGGGAGGAAGTAAATCTGTGTAAAAAATTAATTGTCAAAACAAACATAGTTAATTTATTTTAGTTACAGCTACATGCATACAAATCCATAATGAAATAAAAATAAAGAAAATAAGTTAATAACATATGTCTTTTAGGGATCAACTTATTTTTTAAATGAGAATTGAACCTTTTTTCAGTTTTAAATTTATACCTACATTAATTTTTAACCAGGTTACAGTACCATAGGGGGAAAAGAGGGGGTGGGGGGAAAGAGAAATGTGCGATTTCTCTCCAATTTTGACTGAAATCTTTGGGAAATTCCAAATGAACTTAAAATATTGTGTGTTGTAAATAATTTTTTTTTGTTCACCATCAGCATGTTTCCGAACCTTTTCCTTTGCTTGCAGTTAGGTATAAGGAATACCCCCCCCCCCTTTTTTTTTTTCCTTTAAAAAACATGGTTAGTTTACCTNAAATTAAAATATTGTGTGTTGTAAATAATTTTTTTTTGTTCACCATCAGCATGTTTCCGAACCTTTTCCTTTGCTTGCAGTTAGGTATAAGGAATACCCCCCCCCCCCTTTTTTTTTTCCTTTAAAAAACATGGTTAGTTTACCTCCTACCTATAAATTATTCCCCCTTAGCTAGTTATATTTAGCCTGCCACTTGCAATTTGGAGCATGTGAAAAGTTTCCTAAAATTATCTTAGGATTGACAAATTAAGTCTTATTTTTATATTTCAAAACATGTAGAGAACTAATATAATTGAAGATGATGGGCATATTTCCTTAAATGTCTTCTGCTTGGTTTAAAACTTCAATTGAGTCTTATATTTCACAAAAATTTCTTTTTGAAATGTGTAATAAATGCAATGTGTTTTCATACTTTAAAAACAGGTGTTTAAAAATTTTCATTAAGGCTTAGGAATTTGATTTATTTTTGTCTCCAATCACTAACTCCTAGCTCTTGTGTGTCTACCTCCACTTCATCAATTTATGCCAATCAATGGTTGATAGATAAGTTGTCTATCCCTTGATTATTAACAGTACACCACATCCACTCTTTTCTGGGATCCTCTTTGAGTTGTTTGTCATGTGCAGACTATCCATTTTTAATTGTTGCTTGTAATTCCCTATGTTTTTATTTCAGTGCTCTTAGTCTTAAGATTGGTCCTAAATACATTGCTTTCCAGCTTAATCTATGTTTAAAATTAACCAAGTAAAACTGTTTGCGGAATTTCTATCACATGTTTATGAGTAACTCAATATACTTAAGTGTTTAGTTTAAAAAAGGAAATGAGTAAAACAAAGAATGATCAAACCTGAAAAAAAAGAACGCAACAAAACAACAAACATGTCCGCAGGAAGCCTTGATCAATGAACAAACAGAAAAAACAGAATTAAATTAAAAAATAGCACTTGGCTGAGAAGTAGTATCCCAGAGGGCAGCAAAAGAATTTGCAAAAAATCTGATAACAAGAGAAAACAAAATAGTCTAGATTAAATCTCACTGTGCCATTACAAATAGACAAAAAAAAAACAAACAACTTTCCTATTGGTTACCCTAACTTCAATAATTTATGCATAATTTTTTATTAATTTTCTTTTAGTTTTTCATCAATCCATTGCTTGTCTTCACTTTTTAAAGTGATTTTTTCACTCACTTGAAATTTCTGTAATGAAGTGATTGCTATCATGTGCTTTATTAATTTTTTTCAGATGTTTGGAGCTTAGGTGTGATATTGTTTATGTTAGTTGCTGGCCGTGCACCTTTCCAGGAAGCCAATGATAGTGAAACACTCACCATGATTATGGATTGTAAATATCAGATCCCATCACATGTGTCTGAGCTTTGCCGCAAGTAAGTAATGTTGTTAAATGATATAATCTTAATATACAATATATAGTCCTCTTAATAAGCAACTATTATAGATTTGATCACAATGATCCTTTGAAGCTGATAAATTTTCTTTATTTTTTTTGCATAATATACTTTTTTTTAAAAATTGCTTCTTTCTTACTATTTCAATAGTTTTTTTTTTTAAATGAGACAGTTCATTCTAATTATCTTTTGGTTAAGATTTTGTTATTTATTTAATTAACATTTTCCATAATATTTTTTTTTTTTTTATATATTGGATTACTCTGCTCTATTTTACAAATAAAATAAGAATGTCTCCAGATGTTTTTAAGGAGTCAAATTTTTCAAAAATACATCAATAATTCTCTATTTTTTTTTCATAATTTTATTTTTTTTAAAAATTGCTTTTTTCTTTCTTTTTTAATTTTTTTTTTTTTTAAATGAGACAGTTTATTCTAATTATTTTTTTGTTTAGATTTTGTTATTTATTTAATTAACATTTTTCATAATATTTTTTTTTTTTTTATATATTGGATTACTCTGCTCTATTTTACAAATAAAATCAGAATGTCTCCAGATGTTTATAAGGAGTCAAATTTTGCAAAAATACATCAATAATTCTCTGATATGCTTCACATTCTCTTATCGAGTTCCGAGGAGGTTTAAAGTTTCTAAAAAATTGGTTTGAAATAAAATATGAGTATTTTAATTTTACAGAAAGATATTCCAATTTACACCTCATTGTTAATTATATCTCAATAAAATTCTTATTTCAGTGAGTCCCTGCATAACCAATCTATGGAATAGTGTGCCTTATGTGGGGATTTTGTTATTATAAAAATTGTAATTCGTTTCAGACGCAAACAAAATAACATGACAAGTATAAAACAAACGTTCTTGGGCCATCCACAGTTTAAAACACAAAAAAATACATTTATAGCCTGAAATACATAGGTATTGATACTTAACAATATATCTGAATGAGATCATTGTCATCATTTTTTTTTAAGGACCTTCCTAAAATCCAAAACAAATATAAACTAAACCGCAGTGTAAAATAGCTCATCCACTTATACAGAAAAGTTCTGAAAAAAATTAGCACGGCACAACATAAACATACCAACAAGCATGCAAACACAAACAGCAAACAAAAACAAAAAACACATTCCAAAAAACGCAAAAATAATGCCATCGACTCCTGTTCCCCTTCAGAATTGCTCAGAGTGATCAGAGGATGCCATTTGTACGTTCGCACATTAAAATTTTAAAAATTGTTTTTGTGAACTCTGGCATTGTTTGTTATGCAAGTAATTTTTTGGCGAACATCCCTGTTTGTTATGCGTGGACCCACTGTTCTCATTTCTTTATTAATATTGATTGGGGCACAGATGACCGTTTAATACAAAGCACCCCTGGACTTATGTCTTGTTATATTTAAATATAATGTTGTTTTGGCTTTTCCTTTTACTTACACTCTCAGACTGATAACAAAAATGCTAGTAAGAGAACCATCTCACCGGATTAATTTGGAGGATATTGAGAGAGACCCTTGGTTAGCAAGTGAAGGAACCACTACTCATGTACAAATCAATTTACCCCTGTTGTCAAGGGAACATGTATCAGAAGAAGACCATAACTATGTAGTACAGAAAATGGTGGAAGGCAAGATCTGCACCAGAGAGGAGATATTTCAGTAAGGAATTTTTGGTTTATATCCATTTTTGTAATACAGTGCAAAAAAAAAAAAAAAAAAGCCAACCCTTGACCTAGTGNTCCTTTATTTCTATTTATTTTGTAATTGACAGGAAACTTCTTGGTAATGCAGCACACTTCTGGCCAAATTCCTTTTGTCAAAAAGGCTTGCATAAAGTGTTGGGGGGGGGGGGTAGGAGAAAAAAGCAAATATGGGGAGCTTGTGATAAATCATAGATAAGTAAATAACTTTTAGCGTAGAATGGACATTCAATAACCTAACTTTTTACTATGCATCAAGCAGTGTAAATAAAAATAAGCATTCTTATAATAGCATTTGCTGAAAATGTGAAATAGTGTTATTAATCCCAGTGATTTTTACAATGCTTGGAAAACATTTTTCCTTTTGTGTAATGTTTTTATATATGTGGTCGTACAGATTTTTTCAGTGGTGTCAATTTTGAGTAAAGTTTCATAATTATTTTAATGTTAATAATTTCAGCACACATCTAAATGAGGTTGACTGAAGGCAAAAGCCAGCACTAGTCCAAGATACTTTGTTTTTCTTATGTTGATTACATAGATGGTACCCAATCAATTTTTCAGTTCTCTTGACCGTGATGCATATGATCATATAGCTGCAACCTATTACCTATTAGTAGAACGTAGACTGAGGAAGTTGCAGCAGCAGGAAACAACATCAACTCCAACCAACAACCTACGGAAACAGTCTTCACCAGCCAACAACATGACAGCCGGCAAACCCCACTTGGAACCATTAATGTTATCTCCCCGGTGGGTACACCTCTTTAATATAAATATAATTTTGAACTTCACTTCTACTCAATAATTCACTATTGCCAGTGTCATAACAATAAGGAAAAATAATTAGGCCAAAAAGTAAATATTTTTTTTTTTCATTGATTATTAAAAAAAAAATGATTTGTCCTAAAATCTGTATTTAGTATTATTCAGAAATGAATAGATTGGAACTATTTTATAATGATTTTGTTTTAATGGCAGTTTCAGAAATAGATCTATGAGTACTTATGTCAATAAATTTCAAAATGATTCCTTTTTAACTGCTGTAAAATAGGGGCAATAATTCATTTACCCTTTTGGCATCAGTAAAGTGAAACTAAATCCCAACTTTTTACACCGCTCCATTCTTTCTGTTGTTAAGCAAGGAAATTAACATCACTGGGGAGCCCCCAAGTACATTTTATTAGGTGTGCCCACTTAAGCCAAGATTAGCCATTTGTATAATAAAAAAACCCAATAGATTAACCTTTGCTCCTACTTCAGAATATAAATTTAACAAATCTAATTATTTCTGACCCTACATGCTTAGTGGTAAATATTCCAATTATATTTTACAAGACTTAAGAATATAAGGGGTATCAGATTTTTATCTTCATATTTTGTTCTCTTCTTATGCCTTCTTCTCATCATGCTGTTTAGTGGCATCTTTCTGTTTTCCTCCGTTTGGTCGGCAATGTGTGTGTCTGTCTATAGGTTTTAAAATTTAAATTGAACTGTGTATATTTTTTCAGCTGTCTTAAGTTGAATGAACCTAGAGCTGCCATGGCTTAATGGTGTTCTGAAATGAGAGCATTTTATGCCTGCTACTACATTCCTTGGCATAATTATTAGCATCTGCCATTGTTTGCTCTTTATTAGCCTATTATTCAAAGTTATCCAGCTCTAATCATTTACATAATCAAATTGATGGATGTGGTGTAGAAAAGTTTTTTTTCTTCATTATTCTACTTAAAAATTAAATAATGTACCATATTATTACAAACGATGTTTCCTTATTACACTGTAAATGTTATCCCCAAATATAACTGCACCTTTTTAAAAGTACCCCAATCCCTTCTGGATTTAAGAAAAAATAACTTTATTTCTTATTTCTATTGGCACTATAATAATGTATGATCTTTTAAAAAATAATAAATTATGTTTTAACAAATATCTTTAAGCATTTCTTGTAATTTGCTGCTTATGTACTTTTTTAGAATTTAATACAACCAATAGCAAAAATATTATTTTAAAACAAAATTGTAAATGTAATAATTGGTTTATTTTAATAATTTTTTTAATAAGTTATTTAATCCAAATAATTTTGCGACCATTTTTACCCCTATATTTTGTAGAAAATTTTATAAATATTTTTCACCCATAAAAATATAAGGAATTCTTTGATTTTGCAACCCGTTTATTTTTATGGCTGTGTGATGTGATCTTTTTTTGTGGCTTTATCTTTCTTTTCTATTATCATTTAACTTAGAAAAAAAAATCAGCTATTTTAAGAACTCTGCTCTTGAAATAAAAAATAAATAAAAATGTAGTTTAAATAAGTAACAATAATAAGTTAGGCTATGATTATATTGATAGGTCAAATGCTCAGTGATAAACATATGTAAAAGATTAAATCTATTTCTGATATCCATTTATATATGAAAATATGTTAAATAAAACTGTGTTAAAAATAGTTAATAATCTCGTTGGGTCTGCTATTCCAATCACTCTAAAAGGATTTGGAAACTGTTTCGTAAAATATAAAAAAATTCAGAGTAAACCCGTCCTGTAAAAAATGACTCCATGTATGGCTTATTAAGTTGTTAAACCATTTACATGGCATAGCACAATCTACGTCCTTCTATATTTTAAAGATAAATAATAATATCTTTTTCTCTAAATTCTATATTTAGGACACCCCCCCCCCCCTTTTTTTTTCTCCATGTTTCCATTTTCTAGCTACATTGTTTTTTAGTTACTTACCCAAGGTGAGACTTCACATATCAGCTGCATTTTTTATAGGGTAAAATAATGACAAGGATTCATAGTGTTCCCTGTTGTAATTTTGTTCTTGATACAATGTGTTGTATTTCCCATTTCTAGCAAGCAAAAGGAAATGAAGAAGACCAAAACTGCCCCTATCCATCAATCTATTGTAGCCCCCCCAACCCTTGTCATTACACCTCCCCTTGTGGGGGACTCAGCTTCGCAGGCCATGCGGCTGCCTGTGAGTCCTGGCGGGCCGGAATTTGTCAAAAGTCTGACCATCAGCATGACTTTGGATAGACGCAGCGCCAGTCAGAAGAAAAAGCTTCAACAGGAACAAGGCCTTGGCTTGGCTGGACCCAGAAGTGCCGGCGCCATCGCTGGTGGCACCGCTCCGATCATCCTGATTCCTGATGCAAACAGCAAAAGAGCACAGCAGAAAGTCAAATCTGCTCCGCTAACTTCCTCTGATGGTGCCAAAACGACAGTGGCAAAGAAGAGGTCTTCGGGTCCCTCATTTTCTAAAATTGCAATACTCAGTTCATTCTTTGAACGTAAAGCAGCACAGGAGGCGGGTCTTATCCCACCCACACAGCCTCATCAAAGATTATTTCCCTGGAGCAGTGGAAAAGACAGGAAGTAGGCCTCTTTGCCTGTATTTAAGCTTTCCCCTTCTCCCCTACCTTTAACCTGCATGCATGAGCATTTGGTTTCATTTTAATTCCCATTTTTTCCTTGGTTTCTCTCTATATGTCTGGTTTAAAGAAAAAGCCTTGTGTTTTGATTTGCACTAAAAAAAATTGGTGTCATTTGTTTTCATTTTTAGTTTTTTTTTAAGGTTTTGGAATGCACCTATTTCAGTTTCTGTTTGAAATAAGTTTTCAGCATGGGATGGCCTTATTTTATATTTGATATTATCTTCTACTAGACGTCTATGATGGCTTGAACAAAGGTGTGCAACAATGGTTCATGTCACTTTGGGAGATATCTAGTTAATTTTTTTAAAAATAACATTTTAAAATGTAATAAATGTTTAGTTAATATGATATTGAATTCAATTTCTAGAATAACACTGAAAATGTAAAATAATGTAAACAAGATATCTCCTTTTCAACATGTAAAATTATTATCTAAAGTATTTTATTGTTGTCATGGTTCATGCACTGTGGTGGCTAAATAAAAGTTGTATTCTGTTTCACAGATTTTTATGATTAGATTATTGTTGGTAGTCACTCAGTGTATTGGGTTGATTACTGTATTACTGATTCTGCTATCAACAGATGAACATACAGAAATATAGGCAGATACTCAGCAGGTTTATTGAAAATTTCCTGCAGTGAGGTGTGCTGGATTGTTCTATTCTTTAGTTGACAGTGGTATGGGGTAGTATACAAATTTGTCCAATGTAATACTTTTGTTGTTTTCACACTGTAACTTTTCTATTTTGAATGTAATGTGATGATTAGATTATGTAGTGGTTATTTATTTTAATTTACAACATTTTTAGATTGATTTTAGTTATTCCTCTCTATTAGTATCATTAGAGGTGCTATATCTTAGTGGTTCCTTCCTAGTGAGCAGTGAAGTGTATTCACCATTTATATAAAAAAAAAATCTGCTTGATTTCTTCCTCTGTTGAATCGCTGCTTTACATTGATTATTTTACTGTTTAGTCCTGCAGCATGTAGTCTTTAGCTAAAAATCTGTTTCAATATGTAGCTTGTTTTGATATTGCAACTGAACTTTTCTCTTTGTCTGTATGTGATTGTATTTAATATATTCAGGTTGTCATTTTAAGATAGAGGCACAGATTTGCATTCTCATTAATTTTCTTTAACAAGTTGTATGTATTTATCCTAACTTGCTGTATAGCGTTTCAAATACAGCTTCAGGTCTGTACTCTTATTATTCAATGGCTATCTAGGACTCTGTCTGTATTCAACTGATAGTGAACAATGGTTATCAGAAAATGTTTATTTCAGTAACAGAGCTTCCAATTGCTTGCATGTTTGTTTATCTTTTTCTCTCAAATAAAGAAATCAGAGCAGCTTTTGTCATTAGTTTTGGGGATATAAAAGTCCAAGATATATAAAAAATAAAAGATTAGAGAATGTTCAGGAAAACTCAGGTATAGTCAATTGTGATGTTTTTGAAAAATAAAAAGTTTGCTATGGGGATTCCCAAGAGGTCCAAAGCTGAAGAAATCATATACATATTGCTTCATCCCCAATCATCAGATTTCAACTCCCATCATTCAATATTATGTTGAAATACTGGGTTTGTTAAGCAAGTAACATTTTAGTTATGTTCCAACCTACAGCTTTCCAAAATCACCCAACTCAAGCACCCATGAAAGTCCACAATTGGGCAGCAAGACGGAAACTAGTCCAGACACCAAAACACGACTTGCAAAGCCACAAGCTTCTAACATGAAGAATCTATCACCGCTCATTGTGACGGAGGAATCTCCAAGCTCAACGTCATTGAGTAGCATGTCCCTAAAATCCAGGAGGGAATCAATGCCGGTTTGTGAAGTTCAAGAAATCTTACATGATTTAGTAGAGCAATACAAACATCAGAGCAAGCCTCTTGGATAAAATAAAAACAATCACTCAAGCTAATTAAGTATTGAAGAAAGAAATTCCCAAGAAACATATTTGAAGTTGCAATAGCTGTATTAGCTGTGCTGGAACAAGGATACCTCGAAACATATTTTTAGAACATGTGCATTTCCTGTAGCCAAAAGAAATCTAAAGGAATTTTTCACTTCATGGAACATATTTTCAGTATGTTGTTATAAGAACAAGATGGAACAGACATGTATTGATGTAACAGTATGCCTACGCTACCCTGTGCTTTCAACTGTTCAGTCAGTTCTTGGCAAAGTGTAAATGGCTTTTATGTGTCCCATAAAATAAATGTTTTAAAATAAATTAAATACAAATTAAAGAGAAGCACCCCGGACTCAAAATACTACCTTGGTTTTACTGTGTGTTTAATAATAATTTGAACCTACTCTACATTTTATGCTGAAATACATAGAATTAATGATTGACATTAAGCTTCATGAATTTTTGTACACAGCTTTTAAGTTTGCTCTACAAAATTCACATTTAAGTTGTAGAAATACCTCAAAGTCATTTTTTAATATTAAAGTGTATTGAAGACAAAGAATTTTTTTTTTTTTACTCCCAACTACTTTCGATAGCCAGCTATGGGTTGCTCATAAATTGAAAGTAAGGTGTTCAAGTTTAAAATATACTTACTCTGGAGCTATGGCTTGATTAAGCTAGACCATCCCTTTTTTTAAACCACCACAAACAAATCAATGCCTGAACATTTGTACTTGTGAGAAATAACCTTCATTCAGTTAAAACAGGTGTCTAGTATTTAAAAGTATATTTTGTATCTTGTTTGTTGAGCCTAATAGTCTGGGAGATGAATATGTTTTACGTACATGACTGTGATGAAATAAAACTGTGCCACGAATTGTGAATACCAACATATAACTGTTATGTGGTCATTTTTTCTGGTTTACCGTTACATTTAGAATAATTGATCTAGACAATTTTTTTTCATTGTTTAAAATATGGTTTTCTTCTAGTTATAAACTCGGTTACTTTTATTTCAATTACAAAGTTGATTCTTTAATAACTTTTCTTATTGGATATCATATCATTGGATTTGTATTTTTGAATAACATGACATGATACATACTTGTTGAGATATGTAAAAGGTGAGATAAGAGGAAGACACCAATCTTTTTCCTTATGATTCATTGGTGAATAATCTATTGAGGTTTTACCAAATGTGGTTTGACCACAATTTTGAGTTACCAAGAATACACATGAACACACGCCAGATACATCAACTAAATGGGGACCTCACTTCTGAGTCTTATCAACTACATGTTGACCACACTTCTGTGTCATATCAACTATGTAGCACACACTTCTGAATGTATGTTGTCTTTACGTCTTGAGTCTTATCAAGTATATGTTGACCCCCACATTTATTTTGTGCACACCTCTCTTAAATAAACAAAAGATGCCATGCTTGAAATGAGTGCAATGTATTTCTCAATTTCTCAGATCAAAACAGCGGGTTGCACTCAGTCCAAACTCACCAACATCTATTGATTACTCGGAATATGATTTTCCTCCGTTCCAACGGTAACTTTAAATGTTTAAACACCGCTATGCATTTTTGCCATATTTGGTATTAAAGCCTATCCAAGAGCTACCTTCACTTTGCATGGGGCTAAGGAGACATGCTTACACATCAGCCATCACACTCTATGTTTATATTGTACACTGCATAAACTTAACTGCTACAAAGCTCCATAACCAAGTACTCAAGTTCTAACTAGCCAAAGTCGGATATCATTCAAGTTAATTTTTATATTTGTCTGTTAAAAAAGATGAACATGTTTTATTAGCAAACTTGGTTCATACTAATTGTAAGCTTTAGCTAGACTTTAATTTTATATTCGACCTAGATTAAATATAAACAAAATAAAACCACCTACATATATAAAGGTCAAGTTTTTCACTGCGTAATTTTTTTAAGTGACAAAAACAAGTTTCTATAATATTAGATATTGTTAACGTCCCATCACCTTTCGCGCACAAAAAAAAACGAAAACAATAATTCTTTGTAACAATAATAATTTGTTTTGTATGTTTTGTAAAAAAAAAAAAAAAAAAAAAGAATACAATGTACACAACAAAAGACACTATATAAAATTTGCTTAGTTATCTGCATTACAGTAATAACTAGCTTTTATATTTCAGCTTCCCAAAAACAAAACTTGTACTTTCAGTATTGCACAATGTATTTAAACTAGAACACAATGGTGTACATATTTAGATTTCAAATATTTACCTCATCTATACACATTGCTTCATTTTAAGTCATCTGATTATTTTTTTGCCAGGGAAAATTTTTCTTCCACATATATATTATCTTACCTAATAGTAATTTATTTATAAATTCATTCCTTTCTTTTTTTCAATAAAGCTTATATTTTATGTAATTCTAAAATAAATGGATATGTTTTATTCATAATATTCCCCATATTAAATTTTTTTTTTTAATGACTTATATTTATGGTAATAAATGTATCCCACATCTTCCTTCAGTTGACAAACACCTGGATTAAATTACTTAAAAAGCACAATGACTTATCAATCCAGAAACTAATTTTATTACTTTGCTTTATCTCAACAAGCTTTTTGTAATTTTTTAACAAGTGGCACATCTCGTAAAAGGATGGAACTTTTTCAATAAAATTTTGTTGGCAATATTATGAAGCTTTGCAATAATGCCCAAGCTCTAGCTGACTTCCTCTAAAATCTGAGTGTTTAATTTTCTCGGACGAGCCCTTATGTCTGAATGTCTAGTTTTCTCAGGTGCGTCTCATGTCTCAATTTCTAGTTTTCTCAGCTGGACTCCAATTTCTGAATGGCTAGTTTTCTCAGGCTAGTGAATTATCATTTGAAATTTTTCTGTAAATGAAATCAACTTTTGAGTAATGTCTTCCATCTTCAAAAAACATTTAGTTTAAAATAAACAGTTTTAATTAAGCCAGTGTGCTTCATAAAATGCATTCCAACTGTTCCTTACCAACAATGACACCCTTTAAAATTCTTTGTAACTGTCTTTGCCTGGCATTAATCCTCCTCATGTTACTCAGGTTTTAAAAAAAAATTTTTTTTAATATTCTATTTTCGTTTCTGAATGCAAATGATCCATTTAGAATTGTTCACTTAAAAAGCCAACAGTTACATCCAAAGTCATCTAGGATTATAAGGTCAACAGTGACTTGATCATGGCAAGAGTTAACATTAAAATTTGTCACATTTAGTCAATAAAGTCTAATGCCATACTAATTCATTTATCTGCCAGATCCTATATTAAGTTCACTAACACACTAATCGGTAGCCAATGCCATTTGCTCAGATCAGTGTTTCCCAAATTTTTAGTCTGGCCGACCAGTAGAAAAGTTTCAAAAATGAACCAAGGACAGTTAAATTTCATGTTGTGTGGACCTGCAATGTCAGGCTTGCAGACTGGTGCCGGCCATGGACCACCACTTGGGGAACCCTGGTTTAAATGACTGTGGATCAGAGCAGTCATTACATCTACTTACAATGTGTCTCTAAATGTCATATTCCCCATTAATTGAATTGAAATTCTACAATTGTTATTTTTAAAAATATTGTGAAGGTGGTTCATCTTTGAATTATTTGCTGATTTTCTTGATCTTAATTATCTTTTTTCTTCTATGACAATGAAAATAGCAGACAATAAAGTTCATTACCTGGTACCTCACTTTTGGGTCTTGGCTTGTTGAAATTAGAAAAAAAAACAATTTCAAGAACTGGATGAAGATGCCTTTCATACCAAAGGACCACTCTCTGTGTTCATTATATCAGTAAAATATAGATTACATTTTCGTTGCCTTTATTTAAATTTCAGTTACGATTTTTAATAATTATTATTTTTGAAAAATTAGCATCACTATTTCTGATATGACCTATGTAATCATTGAGATTGGGTATGCCCTATTGCTTGCCATGTCTGGAAGTGTCTTTTAGTTTATTTTCCTTTACAAGTATATACAAAAATAAGTCGTCGACCTCAATAAACAACACAACTGCCCCATTTTATCAACGTCTTTCAAGTCAGCCAGTCTTCATTGTCTTGCAAGGCCCTATTTGATTCTTTTGCTTTGTCTCAACTGACTTTTTGGTACTTTTGTTGCATTTCAATCATAAGATCTACAGAAGTATTATTTGTGGTTTTTGTTAAAGTTTTTTTTTTTTTGCCTCTGCGTTTGTATTGCCAGTGATAATTCTTGACTCTTGTTTACTCTTGCATGCTTTTGTGTTTACTATTGCCTTTAATATATTAGCACAACTTTGTCTACAGCATTTACTATCTGGCGTGTTTTAAGATTGTTTTTTAAAAAAGTTGGTTCTATACAGAAAGTTGATTGGGTAAAATAATTTGAATAAAAGCAAATAAAATATTTATCTTATAACTATAAAAAAATAATTATCACAGATAAAATTTTTATGTTTTTCCATGATCAGTTTTTTAAAATGGTAAATGAATCATTTCTGTAATATATGTAACTAAATTATTAAACTCTTAAGACAAAAACTAATTCTGCTGCATATTTATTGAGAACTTAAGAATTCTGACAATTCCCATCTTATTTCTTGAACTGTTTAACCCATTTTTGATTTCTCACATCTTATTTCTACAGGACGCAATCTGTTGGATCAGATCACTCGGACTCTTCTTCTTCTAACCTGGTACAGTCCCTTGTGTCACCGCCTGGCACACACCCTTCACCGGCCTCTGCATCGCCCAAAATGGCTCACCTATCTCCAGAAGCAATGTTTGCTGCTGTCAGAAAGTGCAGCCTTATTCATGAGGAATCACTGGATGATGACGACGACGATGATTTTGACAACTTAGAGATAGAATCCAGTGAGTTAAAGCCATCAAAGAGTCTGGAGTTTTTAGATGAGAGAAGCACAGATCATTCAGGACTGTCACACCACGATCAAGGGACTTCTTCTGTCGTCACAGGAGGAAACCATGAATCTGTCAACCCCAGGCGTCCACTTAAATCTGTGTGCAGCTCTCCTCAGCTTCTGAATCAAATTCATGAGGAAAACGAATCGGAAGATGAAGATGATTTTGTTCCGTTAAAACTGTCAGCCCCGCGTGGGAGATATACTCATAGTGGAATGGCGTCACCTGAGATTCTTAGAAAATATGAACAGAGAAGACGAAGGAAAGGCGCGGGGCAAAGAGGTACCAGTTGCAGCAGCTCTGACGCCAGTGACACAGACGATACAGAAGGTAGATCCAGGAAAGAAAAACTGAAGCATAAATTCATGCACAGACGTGATAGTAGCGACCATTCTAGTGATACAGATGGGCCTAACGGAGGAAACAACATGGGAGGGGGTGGGCATATAGGAAACGGAGGTGGAGGGACGAAAACTACCCACAGGAGTCGACGTGATGGTGGTGGAGGAGGTGGGGGTGGAGGAGGTGGAAACAAAGGTGGTGGGGGTGCTGGCGATAAAGGTGGCAAAAGCCACTCTAAGCAGCAACATTTTTTCTCTAGCAGTGATAGCAAATCAAGCAGTGAAGACCCCAGTGACTCTATTAATGATGAGAATGCACCCCACAATGCTAATATTGAGAACAGCAAACCAGGAGAGGAGTCTGGTAAACACAACAACAGGAACTCTGTCAGTGCAAACAACAAGCGTAACCAGCTGACCCGCCAGAAACCAGTCAATGGCATCAATGGGAAGGTCGGTGGGCTGGGTATGCTGGAAGGGGACTTTGACCTCATAGCCCTGACCAGGAAACTTTCAGCCATAAGTTTGTCATCAGTGTCCAGTGGAGATGGCAGCGTCATGGCCAGCACCACCACCAAAAAACAACTTGGCAGTTGTCTGACCACTGTCGTAGTATCCCCAGCTCCAAGTCCTCACAGAGTCCAGTACATTGGACAGTGCTCGTCCAGAGACTCAGACTCTATAGCACAGTCTATCGAGTTCTCCCAAATCTCCGATTACTGCGACCGTCTCCTGGAAGATCAGGCCAAAGTCAGCACCATCTGTTCTGGCGACTTTGGCCTTGGCTCAACATCCCACCAGCAGGCCAGAAGGGCTCACTCTAACCAAAATGGACTCTCGTCTACATTTTGTAAAGTGGGCTCTGGTGCCCCTGTCCAAGTGGAATCAAAGTGTTGTTCTGTTGTATGACTGTTGGCCGTGGACAGTCATGAAAGGTTTTTTATGGTTGTCATAAGAAAGTTGTGCTTTTATTTTTTAGCAATATATATTTTACAGGATACATTTTTTAGGTTGGTTTTCGGGGGATGATTCAATTATGTTGCACTTTGCAAGTGATAACCTGAATTATCTTAACAATTTTAATGCCATCAGGATAAAAATCAACGTCTTGATTTGAGACTGATGGTGGTTTTATGTTTTAAAACCAATTATATATTTACCATTGTCATTGTTATGATTAATACTTGTTACTTTAGAGATTGTTGTATTAAACAATTTTTTATTCAAGTATATGAAATGTGCATGTTAGGGCTTCCAATATTGATTGTAGTACCGGTACAGCGTTCCAGTGTTAATTACCTCTCGCAGTAGGAATCCAGGGAAAAAAGATACTCTGGAATTGAAATCACAACTTTAATTAGGGAATGGAAAAGAATAATACAGGTGGATAAATATTGTTACCTACTATTTCTATTTAATGGAGGGTGAAAGGTAACATCAGCACTTGTGTTGGCATTTGGCTGATCTCTTAGAAAATATAGCAGTATTAGAAGCCCTGGCTCACATCCTATGTTTGAACTGTTCTATAACCTGCATGTTTTTGAGAATATCAAGCCACGTTATCTACCATTGATATGCTCACTAACTGTTAAGCAATAATGTTCAATCCTATAATCATTTTGTCTATTTATAAACTAAAAATGATGCCTTTTGTTGTGTGGATCAACCTGTAATGGATTTATTGTCACATACTAAGATGGGATCATCATCTCATTGTTGAATACAACTTTTTTTAATCACCAATGTTTTTGCTTAGCAATGAACGTCTCACAAAATAGAATTGCATGACATTAATGAAAATAGGGTTTTATTCTTGAAGTTTGCATAACACTATCACCTTCCTCTCAAACAAGATAATTGAACAAATCTGTCAAGTATACAGTTAGTGTTCAAACTCATTCAAGATGTCACAGTAGCTCAGCACTATCCACTAAAAATATATGTCTTTTAGTTTGGTTTAAACAATCTGGTGGACAAGATTTCAGTTTTTGGTTTGATATAGTGTGGTCTCATCTTCTGGACATTACACTGTCTAGTCCAGATAGATAATATTTTACTTTCGCTCTCTCTCTCTCTCACCACACCTTTTACTGTTGGCTAAGAAAAAAAATCTTAAATTGTAGAAGGGAAAACGTCTGTTACAGGGCCGGTGCTGGGGGTTGCGGGGCCTTGAGCAAACTTCGAAATAAATTTTGTAGAGCCGTTGAAGTTATATACCCTTACCAGTGGCATAGGGCAGCACTTCTTTCTTTATATGGAGAGGTTACATTTAAAGTATAATGCAGGTTTTTTTCTTGGAAGGTTGGGGCAAAAGTCAGGGTTGTACTAACCTCAACTACTCATACTGACACTGGCCGATAGGATATGAAACCACAAGATAGTCATACAGGGACTTACAGGTCATAGTGATCGGGCATGTCATACCCAGGATTTGTTAACTCACTAAGTTTATGTGGTTGTCAAAAACGAATGCCAAAAACAACTCTACTTTAAATGAGCTGTAAACTCTCAAATAGACTGCATAATGTTAAACAAATATCAATTATCAGACAGTAATTGGGCAGCTAATTAAACTGATAAAAAAAAAAATCAGATTTATTTGGACAGAAATTACTCTGGAAACATGAGAGAAATAAACTCGTTTAAGGAACTCAGCAATTCTCAATCTTATTAATAGATTTGCAGAATACTTTTTTGAGATCCACTGAGCGAAACAATTTATTGTGATGTTACGGAATTGTAATCCTCAGGCACATAAACTCAAACAAAAATTCAGACAAGTAAAGTATGATGTCAGACGATCACTTTCCTTTCCTTTTTTGGGGGCAGACACTTCAATGGGTGGTAACAATGTTTTGTTCAGCTGACAATTTTGCCATTTCATTCAATTGAACCTGAGACATTGATGATATCAAGTAAGTTTCATTAACTTTAATTTTGAAAAATTTCTTTCTGCACCTGCTATATTTAAAGGAACTGGTGACATTATATTGTATGCCATCACAGCTTTTGCAAATTAATCTGCAAGTCTCACAAGGAATTGAAGGAACTGTAAAGCTGTTTGTACTTCTGGAATAATTTGAAATTTCTCTAAGGACCTTCAGTTCTTCTAGTAGTTCCGAACCATCTCCATCCTGTGAATCACCAACTCTCAAGTCCACACAGTGTTTGCTCATGGTACGGAGTGGTTGAATATTATAAGTGCAGAGTAAGCCAAAAATTTCAACATTCTGTTGCAATTACCGGTACTGAAAACGTTTTTTCAAAGATCCCAGTGCTTGGTCTACTAACCACAAGATTTGTCAGGTATCTCTTGTATTTCATCTCTTGATTCATATTCAGACTGCCTTTTACTATTGCCTATTGCTGCGTTCTTTAAACACTGGTTCGATGTTCGCGTCTTATGCAATTTCCTTTGTAGTAGTCATTGCTGATGCAAATTATTCTTCTAATTAGTGAAGAAACAGATGAGACCTTGGACATTTGTAACGGCTACATTATTTGGCATTGTCGAGGTCTGCATGATCTTGATGACCTTTCTGATTATCTTGTACCACTGAATATTGTGTTGACTGGAAATCACTAACTTTGTTATGATTATGAGTAGGCACATCCTGGCTATATTAATACTATATAATATTGTAAGGGCCACGTGCAGGGACCCCCACAAGTAAGGGGCCTTGGGTGGTTGCCCCGTTTGACACCCCCTAACTCTGGCCTAGAATGATAAAAACTATTTCATATCAACCTAAAAAAAAATTTATTTATTTAATTAATCTCAGTTCATTTTTCATTGGGTAATTTGTTTTCTGCTCACCTGTTCCATGATTCTTCCTTGGATAAACATTTCTCATTTTGTATGATTAGTAATGCCTAAATTATACTGAGCATGTAATGATATGTGTATATACTAAGACACTACATGAATATTGCATTTTCAAACAACTTTTCTTGTGGCATTGTTAACCAAGGCATATTAAAACATGACAGTTGATGGTTGGGTAGCAAGTTGTTCTGACTGTATGATAGGTTTGTGCATAGACCCACACTAAGTTGGCCTTCTTTTGGTTTATAGAATTTTGAGGGACTGATTAATGGTTTCTTGATTATAATTTGTTTGAAGAGAACATTAACAAAAAGCTTCAGACATTCTGAGTTCAGCCGACATTGGATGAAATGTAACTAACTGATGTGGATTGAATTCAGTCTCATAAGCTGTCAATTATCTGATTTTGATTTCTCTCTTTCCAGAACCAGTTAAAATTGTTTAATTTACAGACTAGAGTAAAACTTTCCCATTGTTATGTAATTTTTGTTTCATTAAAAAAACCAAAAAACAAACACATTGAATGTTTATGTGGTGATCGTATGGTAATGAGTAAAGCATATAGAGGACTATGACAATGTGCTACCAACCAGTGGTCGACATTTTGCTCAAGCATAACAAAGTATTATATCAATAGCATAGTACCATGATTGTCACTTATAGCAAAGTTTTTTTGTACATTGTCCCATGCTGTATATATAAGCACATAAAATAGCTTGCATCATAATACCGTAGAGTCTTGTCTGAGTCCAACAACATGGAATCATCTGTTCTTTTTTTTTAGTTGGGATGGAATGATAGCGAAAACCAATCGTACCAGGCAAGTGGGAAAAAAAGTTAAGGATTCATCATAGAAATGGTCTTGCACTCTCATGTTTATTTTTATTTTTTTCATTTTGAAAGCTTTGTGAAGATGTAAAATTATCTAAGTCTGAGTTCATTTGCACGTGAATGTTACAATCTTCCTCATTTCAATTTGAGTTTAAAGAAAAAAGTATTTTTAATTTAGTATTGGCCCCATTTGAACAGCAGCACGGTTGATTTGTTCTGATGTAAATACTCCTTGACATGAGATATTATCATAGTATTTTTTAGTATCACATCTACAACCGTACTTTGCAGCATTTTTTTAGCGTTATATCCAGAGTAGCAAAAAAAAAAAGAGCCTTATCATAAGATCCATTGTAGCAGGACCAGTGAATAATTTCATAAATCCAGTGATTAAATTATATCATTCCCTGGCCGTTTTCTATAACTGGACACACAAAACCTAGGATTCCAGGAGTATGTTGTTTGAAGGCCTCTGGCTCTATCTGCTATCTTTCTCGGTTCTGGGGCTCAGATGGTTCTTTGACCTAACCTTCCCTCAAAAGAAAGACAAAGAGTTTGGATCTTTTAGGACTCAAGCCAAAGTTTTTTTTCTGAGGCTGGACATTACACGGAGAGCCTGCTCATATTATTTAAGCTCCTTTGGCAAGTTTCCATCATAACAGCTGCACACACTGTTTAGGGTGGATGATTTTCAGACGAACCATTTTGTTGAACACATTCATCATACAAAAAAGCACCTGATAGCAAACCAGTATGTATACGTAGATGATACTTACTTATACTCAACAACAAAACACCACACTCAACCTTTTATCAAGTTTCAAGATAAACAGGAAAGCTGCAAGAAGTTTTAAAAAAGTAACATTTTTGAGAAATCAGTCTCTCTTTTTGTTTTTTAGTGACCTTGGATAACAGCAGTTGAGAAAGGTACAGCCACTGTGTCATGGTGTTTTATATACAACTGTACCTGTGGTCAAATGGTAGCGATTATGCAAATGTATCTATTGTATCATATTTACCACTTTACCAGTTATATCTTTGTATAGAATATACAACTTTTTGTTGTATTGTGGTATCATATATTTGACTATATCTGTTGTATCATATGAACCTATGTAAAACTGTAAAAATTGTCATATGGTATTATATATACAGCAGTGGCCATCGTATCCTGGTATTAAATACTGTATTTTTTTGTTTCATATATTCAACTGTCCTATCAAATTACCATGGTGCTTGATAGCTGTGGGGCTTGTGGTACCTTTTTTTTCATAGATCATCACCTGGTCAGCTGACAAAATTAAATCATTAAAAAGTCAGTCACATTTACACATGGTCTGAACATTATAAATGCCCAAATGATTGACACATTTTAATTAGGAGATTTAACTTCATTGAATTACATGTCACAATGAATCCTAAGAACCTTTTGAATGGTAAAAAACATTATTACCCTTTTTAATTTTATTACACATTAAACAATTTTTATGTCTTATGTAATCAATCTGATACAGTCTGTACATTTGGAAATGTTCTGCTTGCTAGTACTGGCTGATGAAAATGTATAATGAATCTGCTCTAGCAATGTTGTAGTTTTGTTGAAGATGATCACAAGGTAGTAACACTTATTTTGTTCTTCTCTATAATCAAGTGGTTGGAAGATTTTTTATCATGAGTTTGTAGAATGCACACATTCTTTTTTTTTTAAAAATCTTTTTTGGCCATGTAAGGAACATATTGCTCATTCCATAATGATCCATATCACTGATAAAAGATGTATTGTTTATTCAACCTGGCTTTTGTGGCTTGCTTTCCATCAATGAAATGGTATCTGATGTTTCGAGACTTGATCAAAGCAAAGTGGGTTAGATAGTTTATTGTCTTTGATTTCAACCATAATATTCTGCATCAACTATTATTACTTTGTCTGGTATTTGACACCATTTGTAACCCAATATGGCATTCATTTTTTGTAAAATGTTAATGATTTTTTGTAATGTACATAAAGTTGTTATATATTAATGTTATAATTATATACACATGAATTGAAGCGTAAAAAAAAAAAAAATGCTTAAAAGAGTTATTTCCCCTTGATCACCCCATTCTAAAGAGGTCATGGCCTTCACCTTATACTGAACATTGTCATTATGTAAATCCTGTTGAAATCTACTGGCATAGCTGTGATTTACTGGTTTGTCTGACTGAATCACCTCAACTTTCTCTGTAGCTCTGTTCATCAATTCTTTTCATCAACTTGATGAATCTCTTTTCTACTCTGTTTTTTTTAAATCCCTTTGTTCCTCTCATGTTTTTTAGTTTTTTGCTGATCATTCATTTTTATAAATGTTGATTTAACACAAAGATTTTAATCTATGATGTTCATGTCATCTTTTTTAAGTTCAACCTCTTACACCATCTTAACTGGATGGTTATTTTTAATTGTCCTGCTTTTATGTTAGATCAGCTTATGAACAATGGTAATTGGTGACATCACATGAATATTTAACTCGAACCTGTTGATAAGTTCCATTTTGAAAACTAGTTTTATGGAACCCCTTGATGGGTGTTCAAACAGATCAGGTTCCCATGTGGAGGTTCAGCATGGCAAGATTTTTAGGTTATTTTCTCATTTCTTTGTAGATTTGATATTTTCAAATGTGATAAAAACATTTTTAAAAATTTAAAACTAAAGATTAAATAAATAAAACCCAGATGTAATGAAATTCTTGTTCTCTGATCACTCATGGTGAGATAATAAGGAAAAGGGGGCAGTGGAAGCGAATGCTTGTTGGCTTCTACTTCTGCTTGAACTGTCTCCCTCAAAATAACCAGAAACATTTGTAGGATTCGGTCAAGTTGTAAATACAGAAAATGTTTTTAGACAGTGTGAGTTGTATGTTGTTAAAGAAAGGTGGTCTAGATGAGTACAAGTTCAGCTATTCAATTTACAAGGCTGCTCTGCATATTTGTGGAGACAGCCGCACACATTTTATAACAGGCAGTTCAAACATTTAGAAGCTGAAATCTACACAGTCATTTCAGCTTCGGTAGTTCCACTTGTAATGCATTTTCTTCTGACACCATCTTGTCACAATGTACATGTTAAATGTGTGTCAGTTTGGACTTTTTCATGAAGAATCATTTTGTCATGTTAGATTGCAATGGTTAAATGCCAGAAAGGAGAAAGACTTTTTATATTTGTGATTAATGGTTTGAACTAAAAGCTTCCCACAGTCTACATCAGTGGTTCCCAACCTTACTAACTCACAGAGCCCTATTGACAATCAATTTCTACACGGGAGGAGACCCTTTGGCCTACCCTATGTCTTAATATTAATGGTGTTTAGGAGTTTCCTGGAGCAGCCCCGTAGCCCATGAGTAGAGCACTTAGAAGCATAACTTGGGAACCACTGATCTACATCAATGAGTTTTTTGTTTTTTTTCCAAAGTCAAAACATTGCATGGTCATTAAATCACTTGTCTTCTAACAGCAAGGCTGTTTTTCTCACCCTTCAAAATGGAAGTGGTGATGATCTTGTTTAATAACTGATCTATGACTGACATGTTCAAGGGTTCGGATGAGGTAGCATGAAATATTTCAGAGGGATGTCATTCATGTTCAATGTATTTTTGAAAAGAAAACCTTATTTCTATCTCCTAGTGCCATTATCTTTCCATTTCCATACCTATGGTGTCATTTCAAGAATGTGAGTATTTATGTGCTGCAAGTGTAGCATCACCCCACCTTCCCCCCCATTCCACCCAATGCTGGCGTTGGGTAGGTCAATGTTCCATGGAACCCATGTTCTAACTTGTGTACATATGATAGACTAATATTTCTAGGTTTGTTGTTGTAGTGTGACCTACGTAATGGAGTATGGTACCAACTCCTATAGCATGTTAAGGACCCAGGGCCGTGCTTCATCTGTTCAACCATAGTCCAACCTATTGTTTTTTTTTAAATAAACCAGCTGTCTTGGATATATCTTTCTTTTTTTGTTGTTGTATTTCTACTGCATACCTACCATGTCTTGTAAGTTTTGACACCTTTAACTAGAGCCCACATACTGATTTAACAAAATAACACTTGAGTAGATGTAGACTTGTTTAAGTAGGTCAGTAGTTAAAATAAGTTAACATTTCTAAAGTTTAAAAAAAAAAAAAATATCTGGAATCTTGATTTGTATCTGTTGTCCAGTCCTATGAATGTTGTATATAATACATAAAATGAGAAAAAGGATAAGGCTTTGACTACTGCTTGGATATTTGGAGTGTTTGGGATTTTCATTTAAAAATATGTATATATTTAAAAAAAAAATTTTTTTTCCCTTTTCAACAAAAAAAAAATAAAATAAAAAAATAAAATAAAATGAAGAAGAAGAAGAAAAAAAAGAAGACATTTCTGAATTTATCAGTGCTATTTATAAACATGGGGCTGATTTCCATCCTGTTTGGAAGGACTTACTGATTATGTATTCAATGTTACTTTTGAACAATTTTGTTGTGATTGTGGATCTAAGGAATAAATAGTTGGAGAAAGCACTTTACTAACGTATTTGACAAAGTGGTGTCTATTTTAAAAAAATAGTGTAATTTATTCTCATTCACTAATCTAGATGTTGGTCTACCACATATGGAACTAAGCTTGTCAAAGGCTTGTACTAATAATATAAAGAAAGGGCATGCAGAGGTGTCTGAACAGCTTTATTGGAAGCTGTGGACTTAGTTTATGACCTTGCCTTTCCCTTTCACTAGTGGTACTCAAAACTGAGATTCATATGATCCTTTTTACCACTGCCACTCAAACATTGTCCCCATTACCAGTGGTCCTCTGGGGCGTGTGGAATGGTTCTCAAAATATGTCTGGCAACATTCAAAAATGTTAACACTAAATCTACAGGATTTCACACCAACCACAAGATCTGCCATGTTTTTTTCCAAAGTACGTACTGTATCGTACTGTATCGACTTCATTGTTTTGAAATAGTAATGACTAGCCTATAAAAAGATACCAGTCTGTGTTTGAGATTTCTATCTTCTCAAAGCATTGTAAAAGGGGTTTCTGGATAGCGTGAAAAATTGAACACTAATATAACAGCTAAACCATTGAACACTAATGTAACAGCTAAACCATTGAACACTATATTGAACACTAATGTGACAGCTAAACCATTGAACACTAATGTGACAGCTAAACCATTGAACACTAATGTAACAGCTAAACCATTGAACATTCATGTAACAACGGCCTGAACAAACATATATCAAGATTTCATGTTAAGATGGTTTCAATAGTAAGCAAGGCCACCCTCACCAGCAACATTTATGGGCACAACTTGAATCAAGGCCTTGACAGCAAGGCTCACGAAATTCTATTTACTGAGAAAATGTTTAATTTGATTCATTTGAAGTTAGACTTACAGATAATGTCATTCTGTGAACGTTAAAAAAAAACTATGCAATACATTTATCGAGCTCATTTGCGTGGCAGTAGGATTATCACTTGAGTGATTACAAACTTAGGAGCTTTGTTGTTAAACATAAACTGATGGAGCTACAATGAATAAACATTGTTCTGTTGCCACCTGCGCTGGCTGCATCATATCATGGTGCCACCAGAGCATGTTGTATCATATCATATATCATAGTGCCACTAGAGCTGATTGTATCATCATAGTGCCACCAGAGCTGGTTGTATCATATTATGGTGCCATCAGGGCTGGGGAAGTCTGGGTGGGTGGCAGGGGTGACTCAACGAGTTGACCTAACTGGGTGACGCCAACCCTAGTGACGCTGCTGGGTAACACCAACCGTAGTGACGCCGCTGGATGACACCAACCGTAGTGACGCCGCTGGGTGACATCAACCGTAGTGACGCCGTTGGGTGACGCCAACCGTAGTGACGCCGCTGGGTGCACCTACACAACGCATCAATAGTTCTTGTAACAGGGAAAGGGAGAGAGACAAATGACACTATGGTAAGACCATGGGCGCCCGCAGAAAACTTTCTAGGGGGGGGGGGCAAAAAAATCGATTAACTTTCCAGAAGAGTGGGGGGGGGGGGGAAAAATTTTTT